TGTATTTTGTATTCTTTTTACACCATTTCCAGCCGGGCAATTGAAGTAACTCCGTCCAAATTTGACACTTGCGGATGTCACTTTGAAGAATGGCAAAGTTAGAATTGACGTCTTTCATTTTTTTTTTTTTTTTACGGAAAAGGTCCAAAATGACACAGACCCGGTAGACGTGCTCTACAATAACACATGAATGCAAGATGACACAGTTCAGTATAATCCAAAACGAATACATCAATTAATATACGTATTGGCTGAGCAATGATATGTAATATCGAAGGGTCGGGTTCAAGTTCGATCTTCACCTTGGCACACTGCCAAGCTAGCTCAAGTATCACCTCGGGCACAGTATCTAGTGGATAGACTGCTCGTCGACACCGAGAGTACCCAGGATACAACCAATCACACATAAGGTCCAGGGTTCAAACCAGGGATGGGGGTAGCAGTCGCAAATGTCTAAATAAGTCGCTGCAGTACCTTTTGTAGTTTTATAGATCAACGCTTTGTTCTTTCTTTCTTTTTCTTGTAGTAGAATAAGGTCGAATAGATCTGACACCCTTTTTGCACCATGTGTTATTGCAAAGCACGTATACCGAAAACTGTGTCATTTTAGGCCTTTTCCGTTTTCTTTTTTTTTTAACAAATGAGTAAGTACTAACTATATTAACTATCTCCGTAAGTTTATCGACGAGAATCATTTTCTTTACTCGTACTCTCACTTTTGGGTGTTGTAATAAAACAATTAACATGGTATATGATAGCGGTTCAACCCATAAATATTAAGAAACCACGAGGCCGGGGAGAAGTATATATCGTTCTTTTCTCCGTCCCGGGTCTAGCTCAGGCTCGAATGGAAGCATCAGGCATATTGGTGTTCTAGCAGAAGCTCTAGGTTCAATCAGATGCATATATGTACGAGGCTTTGAAGGCGTATGGAACCTTGTCGACATCGGTATTTATCCTACTTTTTACAGCTTTAGAACCGGATCATATATTTTCTTCTTCAGAATGGCTTGAAGCCTCCAAATTCTCATTTAATAAGTCATTACTAACCTGCGGCGATCATGCAGTGTGCATTGAACTAAAAGAGCGCGTTCTGTATGGCCTCCAGCCGATAATTTCTATAGGTGGGATGGTCCTGGGAGGATAAACTCATACTTTTTACCTGCATATAGACCGAAAAATTTGAGTGTTAGAGTATAGCTAAGAGTTATTTCTATGGAGTGGCGCTGTTTTACCATACACATAATTATAACCCTTATTTTGGCTCTCCACATTTTCTGGTTCATATGCTGCAGCTGGTAAGTATTTCTGTGGTAGTTAATGATCTGTATGGGTTTTGCTGTATCGAGTATATGCAACATAGCTTATTATAGCTGCATTTGGAAAAGCCGTTATATAGCGTGCATCCAGTGAATCATTAGGGCCCCCCGGCGACCTCCAGTTGCTATATGCACCTTGTGAACTTACATGAGGAGCTTTCACCCCTCATACATTGATCGGACACCAAAATATTACTCGGGCTAATGGCGATAAGCAGATATATACCCACAGGCATACTCTTGTTACTTGTCTCATCTGCAGGATCGGAATATAAATTCCGGCTTCACGCCTCTGTTTTTGCTCACGGGCTAGACTTCCTGCCACTGGTTTTAACATGACGTCCTTCTGCTCTCCACGCTAGCATTCGACATGAATTAGGATTTGGCATTAAATTTTCTATCTATATTGTGTCCAAAGCTGACCCAGTGTACATTACCTACAGACTAGCGTGCCGCAGTGGTCCGCCTCTTTTACTGCAAGTTCTACCAACATCTAGCAGGATCAAAGCATCTGCAAAAGGTCGTGTATTACATTCGTCAATTTAAAGGCTTTACCCGATTCTCAGATACAGACGACGTGCAAAAGTATCCCACGATCGAATATGTTCACCAACAGTTTTACTTTAGTTCGAACTCGCTCAGCATCATTTTCCTTTCGTTTCAGTGCTGTTGGTGTCTCAAAAAATGGTGGGGAGATATTGGACCGGGTACGGTGCCCATTGAGCTGAAAGTATCAAATCCACATTTTTTTTTATAGAGTACCGCCATAACTCGAAAAATTGGCTAGCTTCCAGAGATCAAAATTACTTGTGTGGGAAACTTCTGATGCAGATCGATGCCATTCAACCAATCACTCGAGCGATAATCCCTGGCCGGAGATAGCCAATTTTTCGAGTTTTGGCGGTAATCAAAGTCGACGCTTTGGTAAACTAACGCTAACTTGCTTCCTTCATCTTTTGTGTCAGAAGAAAAGAAAGAAACCACAGCTGAGTTGACTCCTATGGAAATCCTCACGACCGATAGTGCCTTTAGTTTTCACAAGGAAAATAACTAAACGAAATGAAATTGGCCCGAGAACTGATATATGCTCAATTTTCATTTTTTATACCAGCTGTCAAAGGCCTACAAAACGATGCACCAGTGGGCGATAAAGCTAGTACGTAAAGGAATACATGGATTAGTCCAATAGGTAACTATTGGTGAACCAGAACATTCCCGACACTGAATGAATGTTATACGACGTGGTCACGTATCCTGCACCCTGCCACCAATATTCATTGAATTAGTGGAGGGCAGGATATGCATACTTGTTTTAAAACTTACCTTGCTTTTACACTCAAACAAACAAAAAATCAGTGGTCTAACACATCCGAGGCGTTTTTGGCAATTGTTCTACGAGTTTTAGCGGATCAAAAGCACAGCATGCGCATGCTCGATGTTGAAACGATGGGTCAATAATCATATTTTATCACTCGCCTTATCGTCAAAATAATAGACGATCACAGCCAACACAATTTGTTTTACCAAAAGGGTTAAGACCATTTCTAAGGCTGGGATTTATCCATATTGTCAAACATTTTTCATCTAATACGAGATACGATACATCATGTAGATTTCCACCACTAATGTTGGGTTGCAACACATTGCCACGCTACGCGCATTAGCTGAAACCTATGTTCCTATGCCATCTGGGAGCAAAAGCCCGCTATTTGAAGCTAGGCTACAAGCTATTTGATTTAGCCCAGTAGAGTTACATAAATCATCCGGGCTCAGTCTGTAGATTTATCTTTATACGATCGTGGTCTTAGTCTAAGTAGTATTCACATAAATATTTAACTAATTATGAGGACTATAGCTATAGAATTGATTCTGTAGCACTATTTACAGCGTCCCTTCTTCTTTTTTTTTTTTAGAAATGCCTAAAAAAGTTTATATTAAAACATAAATATAATAACATAACTTCGTCATTAGTACTTGTATTAAGTATTACTGTACTTAGACCCTGATCACATTTTTATCGTATTCAAACAGGTCCAGGATATCATTTGGTCAGAGTCGATGAAACTCCTTTTAATTTTAGAAACTTTACGTGCGCAATTTAATAGTGTTTAACCCTTACTTGACTCATCAATAAATGCCCTGTAGTACCTACATATACGTACTTATATGTAGTATAGCACTTCGTTAGTTATGTTGCTATCTCCAACTATGTGAACGATACGGAACGAACATTTACCACCAATGAGCGGATATGCTGGCATCATGAGATATCACTCGAGACCCATCGCAGAACCCTGTTGATAGACTAACTGATTCATGATTCATTGGAATATGGCATCCAAGCCTAGGAAAACATCTGTTTTCACTGTAGCATTCGGATTATGAACAGTGCGCAAGTAATGTTTAGTACCCAGTATTAATTTATATAGGGTAAATGACCATTTTAACATCCTGGTTTAATTTTCTGTATATATTCGACTAGTGCCGGCGGCCCTAAATTTAACATATTCATATAACGTAGCATATAATCAGACTGTTCGGCTAGCTATAGTGGCACTGTTTCTATTAGTGAGAGGAAAAGCATCAAAATCATTGCACTAATGTCAATGTTGCCGATTTGAAGATTAATTTATTTATTCTCATGACCGGCCATGCGGTCTAACACGATATTTGAATTCAGTATGTGGTTATTTCAAAGAAATAGATTCCATTTCCTTACCAGGTCAAGCGCCATTCTCCAACGTCCTTGTAATTACTTTTATCCCTAGGCTTTTACCGACAGATTTTCACTAGGCACTGGGTGTCTGGTATATAACAACAGAGAGTGCCTTAACCCCATGGCCAGCCCCCACTACACACGTTGGATTTTGCCATCTATCAGTCTATCCCACCAACAACCGGGACAAGAGTCGCATAATCATACCTTGACAGTTTAAAGATGACAGCGATTTACGCCAATATTTTCCAACTAGATGTTGCCTATTGTTTTTTTATGAAATAAAAAGTCGATAAAAGCATCATTACCATTTATAATTTACGGGCTAGTAATCGAGTGATATTTCGTGAATGGATATATTGGAGTAACGATCCTTTTAGGGAAATCGAATGCTCAACGGTCTAAGAATCTCATTGTTGTTTTATGCCATTCTAAACAAAACAAATAAGTAATATTGGCAGTGAAGGAAGGGGGGGTGACTACATGTAAATAGGTTAACAAGTTGTAATTTCAGTTTTTTTTCACTGCATTGTCTCCCACCAATTACCAAGTAGGCCCATGACAGAGTCGTTTGGTAAATTATATGTAGTACTGCTCGTTAAAAAGGGTCTCTTGTAGTATCTTTGTGAATATGAGCATGTATGCCCAATTGCAATTGATGAATGCATCTGTAATCCGACGTGCATGTAAACATTACGATACTAGTATATTTAGTGAGGTCAATACATTCCCGTTAGCTTTATAGACATAGCCAGATAACAACTCTAATCCACGTGTAAGTACTCATTCAATATTCGTCATATCACAACAATATTCTTAGTACCGACCACTGATGCCTGAAGCTAAGGTGTGTACTGCTATACCCACTTAGTATTTAGACTTAGGCTTGTTTTTACACCATAAACCGATATTTACAATTGATCTCAACTTGCGGTGCTCAAGCCAGCGACTAAGCAACAACTATATCACAGCTTCAGCCCATCTACCATCACATCTACCACTTGCTCCCTAAACGCCAGCCCCAATTCTCTCACCTGTGCATCAACTCCCACGACCCCAAAATCACCCTCCAAACATTTCACCACCGCTTTCGCATACCTTCCCCCCATGACAGGCGGCAGCTCGTCATTTGCAATCTTGATAAGAGTTTGCCTAACATACTCTGGCGACGGAACCTTTCCAAACTTCTTTGCTTGTTCAAATCCCGGCCTCAGTCGCCCCGTAACTGTCTTCCATGTACCGATTTCCAGGAGTACCACGCCGAGCGCGTATAGGTCGTGTAGTTTGGTAAAGGTAGCCGTTGGATATCCTTGCCTTGAGGGGTGACGGTAGAGGTTGCGATCAAGATCAAAGTCGAAGCCAACCTCCGTGGCGGCCATAACGGGGCGTGAGAATTCGAACCCAGTTACATAAGGTACGAGCTTCAAATTAGGAGGTGGCCCAGGAAGCAATATTACATTCGTGCTTCGAATACTTTTGTGCACCCATCCGGAGCCGTGTAGATTCAGAACCGTCTTACAGAGGTTATGGGCGATGGCAAATCTTTGTTCGAGGGAGAGAATGTTCACGGGTTTTTTCTTGCGTGGGTCTACCTCTTCTATAAATGCGTGCAGTGTCTGCAGACCCCCGAGGTTTGCTGCTTGTGGTGGGAGCCTGAACACAAACGCCATGCGACTATTTTCAGGCTCGTCGATATATCCGATACATTGGAATGCGTTCAAAACCGGTGCATTGAAAGAAGAGGCACTTGGAGTCCGACCTTCCCCTTCCACGAAGGCAGAATTTAGAAGTACTGTCGCTAACATTCTGATGTTTGACTTTACTTTGAGTAAGTTCTGCCGCGTTGTATCGTCAGTGGCTGGTGGTGCGCCATATGCTTTGTATTCGACCGCAACAGGCGTCCCATATGGCTGTTCACTCCCGGCAACCAAGCGCATAAGCTTCGTGGATGAACCCTTGGTGCTGCCCGGAGTTTCGATAAGTTTGCCTTTCAATGGCGATGCTTCTTCGATTGTCTTGAACCTGTTCAAAAACTGCCGCTGAGCCACATGCTCGAGACCGGTTTTCTTTGCCGTATCGCTGTTCTGGAAGTCCTTCAGCGCCGCAGGATCTTTAAAACGGATAGCAAAGAGCATGGAGAACTGCATGATCTCTTTTAACTTCTCGCACCATTCTCTGAATTGTGTAACCACCTCTTCAAGTTTTCTCTTGTCAAACAACGACCAATCCCACGCACGCAGACTCAAGCTCCTCACTTTCGCTCTGAAACCCGTCTTATCAAAATCAAAATCTCTCTCTTTCTTGCTAGAATCCCCTAGCGCCGATGGCCCATCAGCGCCACTATGCTCCTCCACACCATCGCCATCAAGTATCAGTCGTTGATACGGCGGATAGTGCTTCAGCGCTAGTTTATTATACGCCCCTAGGCAGTCCCGCAAGTTCTGTAGGATGGTCAAGATACGGAGTGGGTATGCGGCGGGAAGGTTTGGGTCGTGGATGATACCGCCCGATTCTGCGTCGAGGAAGAATTTATTGAAGGCGTCGAGAAAGAATATCTCGTGCTGGAGTTTTTGCCTGATATGGTCTTTGTCGCTATCGTATTCGCGGACATCCTGCACTACTTCATAGACGAAGAGGGCAAGGTTGTAGGTCTCGCGGAAGACAGTTATGGAGAAACCGACGATGTCCATCGCTTGGTCTAGCTGGATATTATAAAAAAGCTATACTTGTCTACGGAAGGATCGCTCAACTAGCGAGGACACTTGTGGCTAGGGGACCTACTTGGTACTTAACAAAATTTAAATAGGCTTGCTATGGGAGGGGTTGGGACGAAAAATAGAAACGGCGCCGGTGAAGAATTTTGGCTGAAGAACATACATTTGATCTGATATGCATATTTCTTCTTTCTTCTAAAACTTGCTGCGGTAGCAGGACACCTACGTCGGCGTGGACGAGATACTGACTAAATAGGAAGGGTGCATGGGAAAATCGTGTCGTTCTGATCACTGGTCCTGTAAAGGCGAGGGAAAACCCGGACAGTTGCCTGGTCCCCAACCATAAGTTATATGCGGTGTAACCTAAAGATCTTATAATTAAGTATATCATATGTATGTGTGACTGTGGGTGAAAGTGCCTTGAGTACATCACCCGTATCTTATTGACTCACCCTCTACCTAGTTAGCCGCAATAGGGTGCTGTAGGTGCATGTGCGTGCGGCGGTAGGTAATAAGTGATGGAGCACAGCGATACCTGTTGTGGTAAAACGCCACCAACATTAAGTGTTTGTACTCTCAGAGCGTTCCATCACTTATTACTTGTCGCTGTACATACATGCGTATGTTGCCCCCACGCGTGGGTGGATAATATGTATTCATCGCGGGGAAAATCAGATAAACCACAAAAAACTCTAAAACCCACGGCATCGAGGTACCATAGCCAAAAAAAAGACAATCAATGTCGGAAAACCTTGGTGACACAAACGTCGAATGTTTTCCCCTGGTATTCGAGACTAACGATGATCAATATCAACTTAATGCCTCAATTGAGAACTCTGCTGAGAATCTCCTTCATGAGGCCAGCACCGACACATCACCTGTTGGGGGCGATGCTGAGTCTGACTGGTTCAATATTGGGAACTTAACTTTGGAGGTGAGAAGATATCTTTTAATTCTCCAAGATTTCTGGGGAACCTCATAACTAAACATCCGTCTGTAAACAAGAATGGCCCTAACAATCTTCCCCACCCCTCCCCAAAAGGAGTGCAAAGACGAAGAGGAGCAGAAGAAGATTGGTTCGTAGTCTCCGATACCTACACCTCCGGCACTAGTTTCGATGGCGGGCACCATACACCCGACAGCAGTATCCTCGATATGGCCATTCTCTCAACCCGGAACGGTAACTCACACCGGTTCATGACCACACTCTCCGATTTCACCTCTATACTCGCAGATATGGGTGTCGACGGGCCTAAACATCTAGTCGGCGGAAACCTAGACCGAGTGGGAACTATCATCGGCAAAGGTGCTCAATTTACAGTGTTCGTGGACCATACCCATGAGGACACTGTCTTGAAGCGAGTCAATCACTACAACGCACCGGCAAGCCTATCGAAGTCCCAGCAGACTTTTGCCCATTTCCGCACTCTGGAGTTGGAGATACTGGCACTCTGCCATCCGCCGCTACGAGAGCATCGTAATATCGTCGATCTGATATCTTGGGGCTATGACTACCAAACACCTGAGCTGCTGCTTCCAGTGTTGTTCATGGAGAGGGCGTTAACTTCACTGTCTAACTTCTTGCGGGGGGATAATATGGCATCTGTACCAGGGCATCTCGAGATAAATATTAGACATCACATGTGCCTCGATATTGCAGATGGCCTAGAGGCGCTGCATAACGAAGGAATCGTTCATGGTGATGTTAAGCCGGACAATGTGCTTGTATTTCGGCAGGATAATCCCAGGGTGCCATACCTAGGCAAGTTAAGCGATTTCGGGATCTGTATCTCGATAGAAAATCCTGCTAGTTTAAGTTTTGCTTCATATCGAGGGACCCCTGGGTGGGCACCGCCAGAAGCGGGTGTGTATGATAAAGATATACACGGGGATTTCTCACCAGAACTACTTTCCAGATGCGACGGGTTCTCGTATTGTCTTGTAGTGCTTTCCATTCTACTGACCCGTGGGCGGCCACCATTTCAATTCGAACAAGTCGAGGGGCAGGAAGACGAGGAATCGCCGTGTGAGAAGGCCATGGGTTTAATCTGGGGACATGAAGATCGGAAATTTCCGAAATCCTTACGAAGTAAATTATTGAGTCTTTGTAGAGCAATGCTTGGGGTGAAACCGCAAGACCGGGTGAATATTAGCTCTAAACTATTAGCGGACGATAGTAAGGGATATAACGATTGGTACGGGCTTCCATTCCACCTCTAATATCCTATTCATCCGTCTGATTCCACCACAGGATCGCTACAAGAGAAACGACCACAAAACAAAACGGAAAGCGTACACATATTATAGGAAGGAAAACAAATGAGACCAACAAAGGTGTCCTTTACTGGATAGGATTCCAATCCCTGGAACTTTTAAAACAGCTCGAAAAAGATTACCAAGACACCAAAAAGGACAACGGCCCACGATTCTCCGGTGAAACGCTCTTTGGGATGGCCATAGCATTCGTATCCTCTACACCAGGAATCAATCTCGGATTTAGACGAGCTATAGAATACATGAGTGAAGCAGCGAAAGGATCATGTATTCCGGCCCAAGCCATCATAAAGAGACTTTACGAGGCACAAGAACTTTCTATTAGCGCCATTGCGGACAAACAGCTGCTGGAAACTTGGCTCTTTAATTCTGTTTCCACTGGGTCATTGGTTGCCACAGAGGATCTCGCAGAGCTCAACCCGGCCCTTCTCCTCGAGGCTCGAGTGGTATTCCGTAAAGCAGGAGGCTACAACGCCGAAGCCTCGCATCAAACTGCGCATCGGTTTTCGAGTTTGGATATCGACATGGCGCGGTTAATGTGCGAAGGTGGAGTAGAATCTCTGCAGGACCTCAATGGGAATAAGGCGCTACATTTTGCAGCCATGTTTGACAAGCCAGAGGTCATCAAGTATCTAGTGGAGGAGCGGAGAGCTGCTGTGAATTCCAAAAACGATAGAGGTGAAACACCACTACATAAAGCCTGTCTCGCCGGTCATCATGCAGCCGTGGAAATGCTTATTTCGTTGGGGGCGGATGCATCTATTGCCTCTACACCATACGAAATATCGCCGTTGCATTGGCTCTTCAACTTTGAGGAGCAGCATATAGATAAAATGGCACAACTCCTCGTATCCAAAGGTAAAGCTGACGTCGGGGCCATTGTGTGCAAGAATGTTTCGGTAACAGAAGAGCCTACACATCCACCCTTCATACACTTCCCATTTCACTGGCCTTTTGGTACACCTCTCCACTGGGCAGCTTCAACACGCTGTACCACCGCTATTGACTCTCTTCTCAAGCTTGGCGCTGATATCAATGCTCGCGACTCCAAAATCTACCCTGCTGCACATACAGCACTAGCTATGGCAGCGCGACGAGGTGACAGCAAAATCGTCCAATACCTCCTCAACAAAGGAGCAAGCGCAACTGCAGTCAGCGATCAGGGACACAATGCGTTCCATACAATGGCCTTGACTTACACGGGTTGTAGCCAGTTTTATAAATTCTGGGAGGGCTTTGATGCCTGGATCTATAATGGCACTTATGAAAATAATCTTGCCAAGGTCCGGGAATGCGTCCTCGCACTCCTCAGAGCTGGCTGCGATCTGGATCGCCGAAGATCTGGTCCGCATGGAAAACTGGGGGATACGCCCCTCTTAGACGCCTCGATCGCCCAGAATTGTGTGGTTTCCCTGGCATTACTAGAAGCGGGTGCCAATGTAAATTTCGAGAATTCTAGTCATGAACTCCCTATACATCTCTGGGCTCCCATTGACGATAAATCCTTAGCATACCCGCAAGGCTTCATGGCATTATTTCAACAGCTAGTAGACCGCATGGAAGATATCAATATAAAAGCTGGATTCCTGGAGGAGACGATTCCTCATTATGTTGTTAAATCCTCCAAAACCCTGGAAAAATCTAAATTCGAAGAGAGGATCCGATTTTTAGTTACTCATGATCCTCCGGCAGATATTAACGCTCTTGATAAAAGAGGGACCACCCCATTACAACTCGCAATCTCAAGCAGGCACCCGGGGCAACCTGTCGAGCTTTCGGGGATCTTGCTCCAATATGGCGCACGTGTTCATTACGGGGCGGACAGAGACTTCCTCTTTATCCTCTCCTACAACCCCATACTCACGGACGCCGAGACAACCTATCTCCTTAAACGACTCCTAGAGGGCTATAGCGACGCCGAGAAGCTCCAGATGGCCAATTCCTCGGTAACACGAGTGTTCGGTAAAGAGTATAGTGCTTTTTTTGCGGCCATCAAACTGGGAAAGTTTGAATGTGTCAAGTACCTCCTTGAGCTTGGCATGGATCCCAATACGATCACTGGTGGACGTATCACTTCCCTTGACTGGGCGTTGACAAGTGGTGAGCAGATCAGGCGTTCGTACCTAGAGACCCTCGCAGACTACTTCACTCGTGATGAGCGGGATGCGGCGAGTGAGAGGGGCGCGGCATTTGGGCTGAGGTTCAGAAATGATGACACTGGTGAGTCAATGCCAACTTTTCCGCTTATTTTTGGGGCTTTACGAACTGACCTTTGTAGTTTTTGGCGACGAGGGCATAAGCCGTGAGTATTTTTCGCACGCACCCGAAAAGAAGAATCATTAGAAGACTAACCTATGCAGGTGATACTTATTTCGGCATCACAAAAATAATACCCCATCTGGTTTCGATGGGAGCTAAACAGGCGAGGCATATTGTGAAAGATGGGTATCGAAGTTCCAACCCCAACCGGTGGGACGACGAGTTCACTGGGTATTCGGATGGATGGTTTACAGTTGAAACCCAGCCCTTCTATGAGCATTGGAAGCTGTCGTATAAGCTACGGTCCAGCTGAAGATGAATGGGTAGACAGATAGGAGCCTCTTGTAATCACGTTTGAAGTAGATGTCCTTTGCCAAGGGTGGTGGATACACGAATCAATCATTGTGCCAAGGGTGGAAAATGGACTAGCGGGAGAAAGCCGAGTGATAAGCCATGTAGCTACATGCATTTTATGCCAAGATTCTTTTAAACAGTTTAGTGTCCATCAATTGATGGCAAGGATTGGAACTCGTTGCCATAATCTCCCTGCTAGGGAATATTATGTCACTATCCCGATACCAACACCAACTGCTCCTCCGCGGAAAATCACTCTAAGATTGCAGTGTAAAGTATTCGGCGCCATGTGTGTACATTACACGGAATAGATACCCAATAACCAGCAGCTATCCTCCCTCTCAATTGCAAGCAATTTTGGAAGGATTTTTCCACCTATCTGGATGATCCTTCATAAACTTCTGCAGCATCTCATAGCACTCCTCACTGTCCATGTCCACCACTTCCACCCCTCGACCCCTCAATATATCATGACCTCCGCCACCAACAGACCTGGCCTCTCCCATTACAACCCTCCCCACACCAAACCATAGAATCGCTCCGGTACACATATCGCAGGGCGTCAGTGTCGTATATAACGTTGCATGGCGATAGCCTGCTTTCGAAACGTGCCCCGCAGCGTCAAAGGTTGCCATTTCGGCCTGTCGAAACGGCGTGAGCTTCAAACATGATCATCTCCGGAGGGGTTGTAACAATAGTAGTAGTATTACATGGAATATAGGGGACATCTTCTGCCACGCCAGATTATGAGAACGAGCCAACACCTCCCCCGTCGAGGAAATTAACGCTGCGCCAACATGTTTCCGATGTTAGCTTCCTCTCAATTGTTTGTTTGATATGACTAGCGGCACATACTGGAACACCATTCTCGGTGAGACTCTTTTTGGCCTCCTCGATTGCGATTTTGAGGCCGATGTTATCATCCAACTGGGTGTTTGTGGAGGTTTGGATATACATGGCTTCGCCTTGTAATTTGATAGTAACTACAAGTGCTTGTATTAGCTGAGGACCGTAGACCCTCAAGTCTTAAATAAGGCACGCGCTATCTACTCCAGGGCCAAGGACACGTAGCATGACGCCCTCATGACATTAGGTATCACCCCACTATGGTCATGATCACCAAGACACGGGAGTGGTGTTTTTAGTGCGAAGACTGCACGGTGTAATAGTATTGTGATGATAATGTTACAAGGTCTAAAGCTATATAATAATAGCGATTTTATGTGTTGCCAAACCATAAGACCATAGCTGGTGTTATGGGGCTCATGACATTAGGTCTCAAGACGCGTACTGGGTTTAGTTACTCTAGACTCACTACTGGCAGCTAGGCCAGAGGATCACCATTATTACATGTAAGTAGGTACATGCCTGTTCGAGACATTGGCCAGGGTTAGGGTTCACTGGTAGCCTTGTCTCAACTCAACCATTGGAACAATTGATGCACTCAATCACGTAGGTGAGGGATATGCCTACTCTACATCATACCTACATGTAGTACCGAGACCTATCACCTAGCATTGCATATAGCTTCGTATATAACTGGCGAGGTTTCACAGAGATAGAGATCAGAGGCGAAGGTCGGGTGAGCGAGGTCGCAAATGACAGAACTACATGTAATTCCCAATTGAGTTTGAGTTACACATTGATCTATTGCTTGGAATCGAGCAGAGCGGTGCTTTGGATGGGCGAGCTGAATTCAAGGGTTTTTTTGGTTGGCCACTACTGATCTACAGATTTTAGCCTTGCGTGTGATCAGGACGTCCCTCGTGTTTGGTTTGCTGAGCCGTACTGCGTGGGTATGTAGCTGACCACTTTTTCATATATGTAGGCAGCTAAGAGTAAGGATACCGAAGGGATATCGAGCTGTGAACTGTCTTCGGGAGGTTGGATGTGGAAATACCGGTTATGGCTCCTACGTGGGAGGCTTGAGGCTCTCGGCCCGAGAGGTGCACGCCCATACACACAATCCTTTGTGGGATGCGGGCAGAATGCGCCTTGTCCACACACGTATGGCCGCACGGCTGATCATGCGATATTTGGACATGATCATGTTACAACTATCTAGTGATCACCTTATCTCCGCTTTAATTAAACTAAGCGTCGCAGCAGAGATCAAGAAACTAAAGCAGTTGGCGAGCAACTACAATACATGTATGTAGGTACATCTACGTTGTCTAGAACACGTACCTACAGAGAAAACCATGCAACTATGCAACCATGCAACTATGCAACCCTTCATCATGACCGAGTCAATAAAAACAACAACAGCAACAACAGCAACAACAACGACCCATCGATCAATTCCTACGGGAAACTACCTAATTGAAACCCCGGAAGATGCACCTGGCGTGTCTTTTCCTCGGCCCGCGCCAGCTACTCTACCCCCCCGGGGCACCAGCCAATGTGATCAAACCGTACACTGACTGAGTATGGAACTTGAGCCGCCACGCTACAGACGCCAATCATCCAACAGATATGCTAGTAGGTGTGAATGCGGTTTTTTACGTAGGCAGAAACTACACCACCACCCCCCAATCCCCCACTCAATGGAATTAGTTACATACAGAAATCAATGGCTTGTTGGGTGCTGTTCCCTTTAAATTTGTACTTCACAATCACAGAATCAAGTTGCTGTCACAAGGCCCATATCCTGTACTCGTTTCAAGCAATACCCGCGTTTCCGAAATGGCCTGCAGCTTGACATGCTTAGTTGTATCCATAGATATTTACAACCTCTTTGAATGTCTGTGGAGGGTACTATATACGTTCAAGCCATTCTCTACACACGGGTATCCACGTTTATGTTGTTATTGCACAAACCCGGGTTTGCAGTAGAGCACCGGCTACTGTGACCTTATTTTAGTGATCTAAAGTACGTGTTGGCACCCTCAGTCATATGTGCGCACAATTTCTATACCAACTTCCCTCCCAGAAGGCATGCTGCTTAATCTGGGAACGTTTCCCACAAGCACCTACACTCGCTCACCTAGTGACGGCGGATCCTGTCTAATGATCATGTTTGCAGTAGTTTAGCCTTGGCGCCCTGAAGTTAATTCTGTTATTGGGCTCAAGTCCCTGACCACCATCCGACAGGATCCGCCTTCACCCCGTGAGTGAGTGTACCAGGTAAGGAGTACTCGCCGAGTGATAGGCTGTGAACTTAGTCGTCTTTCGGTTCGCCAGGACGCCTGAAAACGTTCGATCGCGATTTCGCTCCCAATATTGTAGGTACATTGCATGCATGACGTCAGGCCAGAGTGCCCATCTGCCTATGATGGCGATCTCCCGCGGCTATGTTCAAACCCTCCCCTCCCTACACCCTTGTCCCACCCCCACCTTATCTTTCGTTCCCCGGCCAACATATCACTTTTTTTTCTTCCCCTTCCCCCACTACACACACACACAGAGACGGTCTCAAAACCCCCCAATATATAAATTTTACAAAAAAAAGAAAGGTTTCGTGCATGCTCTCCCATTGTCCAGGGTTCAACCCAACTCAACAACTCAATTAAATGTGGTTTTTCGTTTCAGATCCACCTCTCGCCCCTTACTCCTCCTCCGTTTAAATTTTTAACTCAAACCGTACCAACTCCAAAACCCCCCTACAAAAGAAATTTAAAAAGATGAAAGACAGGACCAAAAATACACAATCATTGTACACGAATCACCAATTGGTCAACTCACTCTACCTCCTCTCCAGCTCGCTCCCGGTGACATTTGGAACATATCTGGTGTTCGCATGAGACGCAGGATTCTTGAAGACCTACTACGTAAGGACCATCTGAACAAGGCTGACACTAAATGAAATAAAGGCCATAAATTAGTACTACGCTGTGGGATAATATAGGTTAATGATGGGAACGAGGGATCATACACAATACCAGTTCATACTGGATCTACTACTAGACTTTGGTTTTTGTTGCAATTGAGTTTTGGTGGCAGGGTCGCCAAGCTCCTCCTTTGCCATTTCGATGCCCATCTTTTCCCCGTCTGGCGCCGTACACGCAACGAGCTTCTTTACATTAGTTGCGCCAAAATCATCCAGTACTTCATCTCCCCCAGTTGGCTGCGATCGGCTCCCCACTACTGACGGTTCACCCACTGTCATCTCTTCCTCCTCCTCGTCCTCTGAGCCGCTATCGTGAGAGGGGCCGTATTGATCGTCGTCGTCGTGAAATTTGTATTTACCAATCTTCAGGCCTTCATCGATAAAATGCTTGCCCAAGTGATCAAATCTCTCGTCCCATCCACCGAGCCCTTTCTTCTCTAGTTGCACAACCAGACCTCTAGGTTCTGGTTGGTCTGGAAATGTGGGGCAGAATCCACACCAGAAGGTTTTGAAGTTGTTCCTCCCAATATGCGCCTCGTTAGTTTTGGCTGTGATTTCATTCTTATCTGTGATACCATGGACGCTACGCAAATGGGTGGTATGTGATTCTCGTCGGAACGAAAGTTTCCCACATAGAGCGCCTGTATTAGGGGGGAGCACCCCACATTTCCATAACTCTAGTTGAAAATGTTGACTGTTCTCATGACGTTTCCAGTCGTTCTTACTACCAAAAAGTTTCCCACAACCACGGAAGGTACAAGCGTATGGACGAGAGTGTCGTTTCATATGTTTCCTGTTCAGAAGAAAATCACAATTGTCTGTTAGATTTTTCATTTGCTTACCTTTATGTGCGCGCCAGTTGGATAGTGGGGAAATCAAAGCTGGGAGGTCTTACTTGAGTTTACTAGGCATTGCAAATACCTTATCACATTCTGGACAAACTGTGCTTTTTCCGTTTTGCGGAAGTAACGTATGTGTGGATTGAGTACCACCTGGAGGCCCATTCTTCTGCTGTGAAATCGAGCCACGCTGCGCTACCTTAGGAGACCGTACTGGTGGATTCATTGGCTCATCATCCGGTATCACAATAGGGTTGTGCTGCCCCTGTTGCTGTTGTTGGTGGTGCGGATGCTGAGGATGAACCTCCCCTGCTGTTGCTGCTGCATGCGGCGGTGAAGCAACTGATATAGGTGGAGAAACTAATTGCCGAGTATCAGCCTGGGCCGTTGTTGAAGACGGCGTCGATGCTGTCCCGCCAGATGATAAAAGCCTAGACATTGGTGACTCCTCCGCCGGGTCCTGTGTGAGGAACCTTCCTAGACTGATGTTTTGAGGAGATGGTTCATAATGGACCCCATGGTTATAAGGTATGGTATTGTCCGAGTCATCACTGGCGGAAAATGGAATAGCAATGAGCTCATATCTATTCCCAATGCCCCATTGATCTTCTAGGTCTTCATTGCACAGTTCGTTATATTCAGCAAGCAATATGCGAACTTCTTTAATCTTCTCATGCATTTCCTCCAGTTGTTGGTGTCTTTTAAGTCTGGCTTCGGCTTTAGCGTAGCTCTCCCTACCTTGATCTTGTCTCTCTGGGGGCGCATTAGAAACCGGGTGGCTATGGTAGTGGTTGCCATTGATCCTGGCAGTATCCAATAAAGGCTCCTCGTCCATAGGCTGGGACGTGGTCACCGGTATCTCATCAATCTCCATCCGGTCACCGGCATCGGATCCAACATCAGGGTGAGGCCCTCTTGAAACCGGGGATATTGGTGCGTGTGCCATTCCAGATTCGGATGCAGATTCCCACGCGCCGGAATTGTTGAAGGGGGGAACCTGTGGTAGAGGTCGCGTTCTTCGTGTTGGCCGTGCAAAATCTATAGACATGGCGGGACCGGGACTTTCCATTGCGCGATTGCTGGAACATTCGGGCTCGGACCGGGTGTCTATAGAGATGGCCATGGAAGAACCATCACCTCCAGCGGGTTGGATCCGACGGCATTCCGCTTCCGCCCTTGAAAATGGAAAACAAAAGATAAGAATAGGTAAATTACAGAACGATTGTTCGTTCCGTAACTACGCATATCAAGGACACGGGGATGATTTCAAATCTAGCGCATAAAAAATGCATACCAAGTGGAATCAACATCAACCCCGGTAAAAGGTATGTGAGTTTATATCCATAGACTCGGCCGTTGATTGATGTTGAATCCAATTCGTACGCACTTCTCTCTGGGACGATACTTGCAGTGCAAAACTTAAAGGAAGTAACGAAAGAACGTGTAAATCACATACCTCTTCAAGAAATCCTCCATCGCATCTTTTGAGCCTTTTGGATCATGTTTTTTCTTCAAGTGATTCCTGAAGTTATCCAATCTCCAGAAGATCTTTCCATTGTCGCGACAATGATCATAGCAACAATCGTACCCCACAGCTGGTCGGCTGAGGTGCCTCTTATGGACGGAATTCATGTGCCGATCTCGGTCGTTCATTGACGTAAAGCCCTGACCTTTCCGCTTGCAATCCGGAAATTGACACTTGAATGGTTTTGTATGCTTCATCTCATGTTTCCTTCAAAAACCAACCGACGGGAAAAAGGCCAATAGCCCGGAAAGACGCAGAATCAGCTATGTACTGCCACTCATTTATTTATTTCTTTCTTTCCTCTCCATTTCTTGTGTTTTTCTATGTGCAGTTAGACTAGATGCAGCCCTGCCCCATTGAAGTAGGCATGAAAATCTCAACGGTGCGCAAAAAAAAGATCGCATACACCTGATTGAGCTACATCTAGTCTACTCTTTTCTGGGCTGGGGAGGGGAAGGGGGGAGAGGGGGCTTTTTATGCTTTTTTTCCTCCCAGTGATTCTTTCTTTCTCCATGATTTCTTTTTCTAATTGACTTGACAGACGGGCTGTTTGCTCTTACCGTCGTAATGAATCGCATTTAAACGTGGATTTGCATGTCTTGCAAGAAAACTGCCTCGACATATGCAACCCTGAAACTGTACTCCCCGCCTGACTCTGCGTATCACCCATCCCACTATTGATCTCCGACATTTCACCCGGGTCCTCCGAGTATATCTCAGTTCCGGATTCAAAATTACTATGCGTGTCCATGGTCGTCTCTGTTGTCGGGCTGATAGGCTGGGTAGAACGGTCCAATGATCTATTACGGTTAATATATTCACTATCCCAACTGGCCGCGCGGCGGATATAGTCTGGGAATTCGCCATTATTACTTGGTGAGCGTTGTGAAGTCTGCTGCTGATATTCGATGGTTTGGTGGTGGTTGTGGGTCCCTGGGTATTGTACCGATGGAGGATGACCCTGCTTGTATGTCCCCCATGGGTCGTTCTTATGATCTGATAGATACTGCGACATTGCAGGGGCTCCTCCTGGCGCCCTCATGGCAGTGGGGGACTCCGGCGAGTAGCCGGAGTGCGGCGGAGGACTCAATCCACTAGGTGTAGTTGGTGGGGGTATTGGGCCGCCGGGACGGCCGAGTTCACGCCCAAACATGGATTCGATTGAGGGGAGTATGTTGTACTCTGGTCGGCGGTGGTAGTGTGGGTAATAGCCCACCGGCGACGCAGGCATGTTGAAATTATCTCGCTCCATCCTATTCTCTACAGGATAATGAGGCGGCATAGTTGATGTTGTGCTATTTTAATAATGCATACAATATTAAGCACCTCACTGTAACAGCGGTTAGCCATGGGACGTCTTGAACTTGGGGGTATGAAAGGGAGAACATTAAATGAGCACAGAGATGGGAACGAATGGAAAGAGTGGGAAAGAGAGAGAAGAGGCAAGTCGCTAGTTTCTGCTGCGTGCGCAAGACTGAAAATAGATTGACATCAATATTGAAATCAAAAACGAACACAAGGAAATGTCGATAAATACGGGTAAGAAAAGCCACACTCCAACTTTATGAATGTAATGATAACCAATTATAATGGAACACTTGCTTACCTTAATTGCGGTACAGGTGTAAACAACCCTAGGTGTTGATATCTAAGACTCGATGGTGGAAGTTCACTAAGTAAATCCTTGGTGGGAGTACGTTTGGGGAGGGAGAGTTCGATTTGGAGCTAGTCCCCTAAATCCGTTGCGCACGATCGGTGTGGTCAGCACTTTCCCTGTTTCAATACTAACACCCAAAGCCAAGTAGAGGGAACTTACAAGTGGGGAACCTAAACGCGACGGCGCCGGGGGGGGGGGGGGGGCAAAGCCGATACTGCGCGAGGGGAAGCGCGAAGTGACGAAAGGAGGGGGGTTGTGTGTGAAGGTGAGGGGGGGGGGGGGTTGTGAAAGAAGGCTCTCTGTCTTCTGTCTTGCAAGCTCAGATCAAGGGACGGCTCGGGGTGATTCTACAAAGATCATGTCCGTAGACTGTAGATAACTATACCACCGATCTACCCTACGTACATTACAGTCTTCAACTCTCCCAATGGAAAGCTGGAAAGTGCCTGGTCAAAGAATTATACAAGTTTCTTTGCAGCCGAAACTTACTACCGAGCAGTCAGTCAGTCGTTAATATTGTACGGTGGGTAGGTGTGGTTTGTATTGTATCATACGTCGTCGCCGCCCCCCCCAGTCCAGTTCAAGTTCAAACCAGGTAAGTGGTTAGGGTAGTAGATAGTTGGTAAGGTGGTTGTATGAGAAGAGTGAGAAATAGGTATATCGTTAACGTACCCAAGAAGGGTCTCCTTCATAGAGTGCTGTCTGGTCCCGCGATTACTACCCCCATGCGGTGGGATCAAGCTCTCGGCGTGGACGCATACACACTCTGAGTCGCAGCCCATAGTCGCAAAACCATTGGACGCCCTGGCAAGGCAGCAGTCTCAGGAAATATCCCAACGTCGCACCTATGCGTACCTCCCTTCCGCCTGGCTCGCCTTGCAAATCAAAAAAAAAAAAATTCCCCTTGACCCGCCCTCCCGTCCCATAAAGACCCGAGCACCCCCAAATAAAATTTGTTTGAGTCTTGCAGGGCAGGTCCACACCAGTGTGGAGGTACGCAGGAAGGGAAACGGAATGCTTGGAAACAGCCTGTTGGATGGATCAAAAAGAACCTATTGCGCACATATGTGTTGTGATGCGTTCAACCACTGCTTACATTAATCAGACAGATACAAAAGCACTGACTTTTTCTATTGAGTACTCACCAACCACCTTGTGCCTTTCCCCTTCACTCTTCACATATTCCAGGTTATTTCTTTTCGGTTTTCAGTATCTACTAAACTACATATCCCCTGTTGTCACGAGAAAAAGCCACCGCAACGCATGATCAGGATGGCCGCCTCTAGATCTAGTTAACCGCCGGAGGTAACCGGCCCATATGGGGGTGTGTTCGACATTTCGGCGGCTATCATACCTAATTCCCCAAGTCTAGAATTGATCAGCTGGAATATCACAATCATATTTGTAGGATTAGCCAGCTGATTACATGGTTTGTTCAGACTCCGGGCAGGGATCATTATCGGCACTCGATGTAACCTTTCCTCCAGGGTTAGGGTAACTTGATTTCCAATCTACCCAGTAAGCATGACTAGGAGTTATGGAGTAGTCAGGTTTGGGCATGCGGGATGCGTATTCAGGTATGCCGCGGGTGAGGTTTCCAAAATAGAAATATCTGGCCTCGGACACTCTTAAGATCAGATGTTATCTGAGCGGGGGGAGATATTCGATACTCTCGTGTCGGTATAGGGCCAATTGCATGCTTTCTCACTCGGTCATTAGTGTAGTTACCTTCCAGGAAGGAATATACGGTTTGAGTTCCAAGCATCCTCCAATCCCCTCCTTTCAAATCGTCATAAAGAGCCAGAGTGGCACTGGGAATAGCAGCGAAATGAATCCGGTCTCTAGCGCATCAGCTTATATTCCATGGAGCGTTGAGATCTTTTTGGCCAAGGCGATATTAGACACACATACGTATACTTGGTGACTGAAGGTAAGAGTGCCAACTGGAAATTCGTTTGTGACGAACTAATCTCACTTAACAGCTAGATATAAGACGAGTGTTTATCTAGAAAAAGTTTTCAGTGAGTTGAGTGATGGATGTGGAGAAAGCATAGCTGGAATGATATTGATGACGTTGCTTGAGGTAACCGTGTTCTCAAATCGCGGTAGGAAACACCTACATGATATTACTTTTTCGTCATGTAGGTGCGCAAGCTGAGAGTGGTTGCGTTTTGCACACATTCGGTTCAGTTCTGGACCTTTGCCATCGATTATACGATGGAGCTTGGACGAGTGCTCTTTCATGACTCTGATCATTTTCTCGAAAAGTAAACACGAGTATCTAAACTACGACACATCATCATCGCCATCATCATCACCACGTGAACTATCATCATAACCAACACTGAAACATCCCTATAAATTTACTGTCATCATTTCTAGCAACACCGTCTGCCCAGGTACAACGGCATCCTGCACCCCCCTTGTGATAATTGCGACCAGTCACTAACCAAATTTTGTTCTCAGTGCATCTGCATGTAGCCTTCAATGGAGTAGTCCCATGGTCTAGCTATTGCCCATCATCTACTCTAGTTATCGTGTCTCAATGGAAAAATTTTTCCCCATGTATGAAGAGGCCCTAGCTAGCAGGTAGCCGCTACGGTCTAAGCAGGGCTTGAGCACAGATGTGTACATGTATGTACCTACATACATTGGCTCTTGCACGGTCCCCTTAACTTCAAAAATCGAATTACGGCTCCACACAGTTTAGAAACTAATAGATAGGTGCTCATAAGAAGGACGGATGGTCGAGTAACTTCAACTTCAAGCAGTGTTGTTCATGGCGAGCCGAGAGGGAGTCTCAGATATGTAAGCATGTCATAATATAAATTAAAGAAAAGAACTCCTGCAAAATTCAGATCCAAATACCCCTTCATAACGCATCGTAAAAAAAAAAACCAAAGGAAAGGCGAAGGATTGACGCTAACGAGCACAACAAGACAAACGATATGAAATAGAGGGGAAGTGCGGGAACAGATCGATCGATCTACAGACTGGGCACATGCTGCACTCTTATCACCAAATCTTTCCTAATCAATAAAGTACCACCCTCTTTTTTTATCCAGCCAACTCTCTCCTAGCTTGATCATTAAGATCTCTGGGCGAGGACTCGACACGATATCACCCAATTCAAATATAGGACAAGAACACATAGAAAATGCAAAGGAGAAAGAAAGAAAAAAGTCCGTCCCTTCATAGACCCTTAAAAGGAAATCGATAACCAACACGAAGAAAAGATATCAAGTAAACGAAAAACAAAAACACCTCAAATCTAGAAGTTACGGTTCACGCAGAGATATACCCACCTTAGTGGATAAAACCGTAATCCTCATCTAAAGGTGCCATGGCTACCCCCACCAAGGCCATTGGGATTTCCCCACCGGGGTAATACCCGTACTGCCCGTGGTTCTCGATCAAGCTATTCGCTGTAGCCACCGTCTGAGTATGCATTTGCCCAAGCCCGGAATTTGCAGGGAGCTGTCCAGAAGCATAGGCAAAATAGCTCTGTTGTTGTTGTGGCTGCTGCTGCTGCTGCTGCACTTGTAGATGTTGCTGTCCCGACATTACAGGGCCCATTCGCTGACTCGCCGGACTGTGCGGTGGTGGACGCTGTGAATATGTTGGAGACGGTGAATATCCACTATTGATCGACGGTGCGCGTCCTCCTGTCATAGACGAAGGACTAGGATACATATCGTTCCCGGCGTACTCGAATTGATTGAGCATGGGATGTAGTCCTGAGACATTTTGCATGTTTTGGATACCATCCGGACCGAACCCCAGACTTCCGGGTGTGGAGTACTGGAGGCCACCTTGTGGGGGTGTCGACACGTTGAAACGATTATCCATTGGTATGTGCGGCGAGCTTCGCGGAGGGGTGTGATGTGAACCATAATTTGTGTTCCCGCCTGCATATTGGATGTCATCCTCGTATTGCACACCCACCGTATGATGTCGACCTGATGCGTCTCCACCACCAATAGAGTCGATATCCATATCGGTTGATAGATGCTGAGCCTTCGGCATCGGCGCGACTGGGGCAGTATTTGCGCTTCTAGTGGGCGCCTGCTTACCAGAACCCCTTGTGCTCGGCGGCACTACGGCATCATCCGTAATCAGATCCAGGACCGGGAGTGAGATTTGCTCCATGTGTCTAGCCAGGTGCACGGTCAATTTCTTCCATGTGGCACAGGTCACCCCACAGAACCTGCATTTTTCTTCCGTCGGGAGCTTCAGTGTCTGCTGGTGACAGTCGTCAACAATCTGCCACACCTTATCAAAATCTTCTTGTGTCGGCGCCCCATCCGCTCCCGCGACGGCCTTGGCCGCCTTTCCCTTCTTCCCCGTCGACTTTCCGGCGGCTTTTGCGGCTGCTTTCTGAGCTTTGATCTTGGGCTCTGCCATCTTGTGTTCACGAACCAAGTGCTGAACGAAGTTATCCTTACGGTAACAGGTATGTGTACAATCAGGTATGTTGCATGTCCACCATTCGAGATGTCTGTGGCGTTCATTCTCATGGCGAACCCAATCGGCCTTGCGCTTGAAGGATTTTGGCTCGGTGCATTCAGTAAACGTGCAGGTAAAGGGGTGGACGTCTTCGTGGACGTGCTTGGTCCAATCAGAGGGCTTTGTGAACTTTTTGACCTTGAAACAGATGGGACATTCAAATTCAGCTGGCAATCGAGAGACAGGAGGCTGGGGAACTCCAGAAGGGAATTGCGTTGCGGCCACTTTGCCTTCTGTGGGAGAGTGGTCGCCGGCAGTCTCATCGGATGAATATGCTATACTTTATGAGTCCCAGCTTCAAATGAGATTACAGGATAGATTTGTGAGCCTACCTTCGCCTTCAGGACTGCCTGCAGAGATATTTCTTTTGTGTCCATTGTTCTCTTCTTGTCCTCCCGCACCAATAGAACCAACTTTACCTCTACATTTCGCATTGTTACCACACTTGCCACCATTCTTGATCGCCGCAAGATGCTTTTGCCTGTGTTCAACCAATTTCTTGTACCGCTTTCCCTGTTCGTACACGATCCGTTCGACCAACTTGTGATGCAATTCCGGTGTCTTAGACTTGATATGGGCTGTGAAGCCCTCTACGTTTGGTGTGATGTCTAATTTCTGCTGTCTTTGCCCGGGAGGCGGTGCCTGTGGGGGTCTATTCAAGGTGTCATCCATAACTTCATCCTCACTATCATCATACCCGTCATGTCTATGCGGATCAGGAGGGCTCAGTAATGCTTGATTTGCCGCTGCAAGTCCTCGCTTACTTGTCTCCTCGCCAAAGGTAAATCGGGGTTTCAGAGTACTGTCGGGGGCGCTATCAGTGCCAGACGCAACAGGAGACTTGATGGGCAGTAATGGTGGCCCGCCATACTGGCCGAGCATACTGACAATACCAAAGGAGGGTTTGTTGCTTTTATGGAGCCTTGAGCCTGTGGCAAGCTCGCTCTTGCTCCGAGCCCGACGGAGTTGTTGCATTACATGGCTTCCCACGCTCAGCCCAGTGGTTCGTTTCTCGGCCGGCGTAGGACTGGCAGACTTTGCTGTACTGGCGGTGTGCCCAGAGCTCTGGCCGATGCCCGCCGTCATGCCCGCCATGCTCACAATTGCGCCATGGACACTCGTGTCAACTTTCAGAGTCCCAGGCTTTGACCATGATGTGCGCGTTTTCACGGGAGCGAAACTAGCAGTGGACGCAGAAGAGGCAACAGAATCACCTCTCTTTCTGCCAAAACTAGCTGCATCTCCAACCAAGGTCTCTTTTTCAGCTTCGATCTCGGCAACCTCTGTGTTATTTTCTCTCAGTTTGTCGCTGGCGTTACTGTGCCCTCTCTTGAGACTTGTTCTCATGAGTGATTGCATGAGACTGGGCCTTCTTGAGTGTCCAGGAGGTGATGATCCATCCTTATCTTGACCCTTCTCTTTGTTTCTGAAGCTCAACCTCTTTAGCAATCCACCGTCTGCAGCAATTCGGTCCACATCGCTAGCACTGAGTCTTCGGTTTTTCGATGTCTCGCTGCCGAATGTGGCGACCCTTGATGCAGTCTCAATGTTCTGCGCATACTCGCGAAATCGTGTTATCGCCGCATTCGCAGTGTGGGGCTGGCATTTCATAGCGGCCGCATTTGTGCCACTGGGTATATGCCCGACGGTATCAATCCATGGACGCGCAGAGTAGAACTGCTTTGGATTCGGAAGCAGAGCAGGATCATTGTCAATCCGCATCTGCTCTTCCTCTTGCTCTTTCTCCGTTCTCTTCAAGGCCTCTTCAGTTGGGGGTGCTTCAGACGTATTCATTGACTCGTCATCATCATCGAGGGATCCATCGTTGGACAGAGATCCATTCGAGCTGTCATCATCTTCATAGTCATATTCCCCTGGCCTGATATCATCGTCATCTATAATCAGTACACCTGTGATCGCCCCGGCGCTACTCTCTCCAACCTTCACAATTTCTTCCTCCTCTGCACCCTTGGCCGACAAGCTCTTGTTCCTGAAATCCGAAAAACTTTTCGCCCTGCCCCTCTTTGGAGCCTTCACCGTCAAACCACCAGGCTTTCCCTCCTTCCCATTCTTTCCGGATATGTCACCGTTCTTCCTCAGCCAGTCTTGAATCTCCAAAGCTTTGAACTCTCGCTGCTGGTTGATTGTCTGCTCATTCAGGCTAGGGATTTCTGCAGCATCTTCACCCACACCCAGCGCAGCGCGCATTTCCGGATCATATCCGCGTTTCCATGCTCCATCTTCACCACGCTTATCGACAGTGAGATCTACCACTGGCGGCGGTGACTTCACAACAGGATTACTAGAGGACGCAGAGGACGCATGTGAGATTGGTGTTGGATGCTGGATATGCACACCCAGCCCCTTCACAGGCCCTGAGGGGGTGAATTGTTCCACCTTGATCTGCACGTCCTCATTCCCACTACTTCCAATACCAGGGCTTGGCGAAATAGTAGGCCTGGGGCTTGGGGGAAACGTCATGCGCCTACCACCAACGCCAGTTGCCGGCGTCGAGTAGGCGGTCCCTGATAGTCCATCATCGAGCTCATACACGTCATCGTCCGCCAGCGGCGGCATCTCTACGTCGTCAAAGTTTGGCGTCGTTGTGAACCTATCCATGAGTGTTGGCGACTCATCTTCCAGACTGTGACGCCCGCCAGTACTATGGTCATAGTAGCTCGGGTTTGGCGAGTAGTGAGACCCGGGTCCACGCGAGAAGCCCATGTTATTGTAAAAGCTACTGTTTGTGATCGGTGAGGTGGCCGATAACGTGGAGGGAGAATTAGTCAGTAGTGAATGATCAGGATGAAGCGACGACGGCGACGCGGGTCGTTTGCCGTTGGGTAACCTGCTATTATTGTTCCTCACAGCCGGTATAGTGGGCTGGTAGGGTTGTGAAAGTGATGGTGACCCTGAAGCATCCATGGAGAAGAGGGAGCTATCGAATGTGGGCCGTGATGGCGGGGACGCAGAGGTTGTGAAGGGGTTCATTTTTGATTTTCGCGTCTTTGGTGAAGGGGTGGAGGTGGTGGAGGTGGTCATGGCGGAGCGTTGTGAAAGGTCCCGGGCCTGATAATGATATGGTCCAATCTAGATCAGGTTCTTCTGGTGCCTAGAATCGCGGGATTGTCAGCTGGCATTCCTCAACCTGCTCTTCTCTGATTCGCCAGCTAGATGATGGAAGGATTGGATATGGGCCACCGAGAGAGGGGGTATAGATGTATATGATTCAACATGCGGCCCAAAAGAGCACAAATGAATAAGGGAGAGGGTATACTGCAACAAGGGCTGTACGAGAGCTATCCAAGGGGAGAACAAGAATGCCCAGCAATTCCGAGGAATGGAATTGATTGGACAAAAATGAAAAATAGACCAGGTAGTACGAGGGTGCCAACATCGAATAAACGTCCCAGCTCTTATCCTCGTGCAGGCCAATGTAGGAAGGAGGGGCTCCATGTCCTCGGCGGTTGGGCTAGTGACAGGTACCGGAACCGGGACCAGAGACCATCAAACCACGGCTAGGTAAAGTAAATGTGGGCAAAAAAGGACATGGGATCGGATGAAATAGGGAGGTTTGGGGGAATTGGGGGTGGGGGTGGGGGTGGGGGTGGGGGAGTAGGAGGGCAGTTCGCGCATATAATTGTGAAGTAGAAAGAGCTCGCATGCTCACCCAGGTGCACAGAAACGTAAGAGAGAAAAATCAAAAAAAATCAAATAAAGTCCCGTTCACTAAATGTCCCTATTTCTCTCTAAAATGTGTCGTATTTCTTCTCCGGGCCTCTCTCTCAAAGACTGTAATTTGTCGCCGCCCGCCGCTGTAAAAACACAAACAAAAAAGACAAATGGCTATCGCCACTCAAAGTTCATTCCCGCTCCCGCCGGCCGTCGGTCTCTCTCTCTCTCTCTCTCTCTCCACTCAAATGTAAATTAATAGTAATAATCTGTGCGAATTTTTTTGGCCCGGCCTTCTATTGATTGATTGGTTGGTTTTTGATTGACACGAATAAATAAAGAAGTATTTTTTATTTCTCTTTCTCTCTTTTTCCTTTCTGGGAGGAGAGGTATAAAAAAATTGGCAAAAAGCTTTGTATGTAACAGGAGGAGAGGCAGTCGCGGAGAGGGCAGACTTGCACAGGTGCCTTCTTTTCGAGCAACCCAGGTGAGGCGACCAAGTAGGTATAAATAAACGAAGTGGGGGGAGAGGGAGAGCCAGTCAACTGATCGGGAGAGCCAGTCGATTATTGTAGGCAGTAGTAGTAGTTCTCAGTAGTAAGTAGTAGTATAAATGATTGACCGAATTGGTTTTGGGAAGCTGGGCGCAGTAGCTCTCGTAGGCGGCGGTGCTGTATATATATTTTTACCCTTTGCGACGGCAAAGTGTATATTTCAACCTTAAAATGGAATGGGAGCTTTTTTCTCTCTCTCTGTTTCGTTTTGTTTTTGTGACAGAGCTGCGGACGGGAGTGTAGTGTGTAATGTGAGGTGAGGTGACAGAGTGGTAGTTAGTTGGTGGTGGTGGTGGTTGGTTGTGGGGTTGTGGTTTTTAGTGGGTCCACAATGCGGGAGTCAGTCAGTCGCAGGATTGTGAGTATGTAATCGCAGGGTATAAGTTAATGCGTGGGTACAAATCGGGCAAGGAACTTATTCCTGTCTGTCAGGCACACACGGGATATTAGCAGGGCTTTCTTGGACAAGTTTCTAGAAGGACGGTTGTTTGGAGGTACATACATACGATATGGTAATAGCCGTCAGTAAGTAGTAGTAGTGGTGGCAGTAGTATGCAAAGGCCTCTTGGGAGATCTTTAGGGCTAGGTTAAGCTTTACCGCTTTTTTTTTATTTTTTTTTCTTGCACCACTATCTTTTTTAGACAATAGGGTAGCACCGTATTCTCGGGTCTGTCGTAATTGGTAATGTGCAAGGAAGGTTGAAGCTGTGCCAATTGTCGAATCACTAATGATAATCTGCTCTGTGCACAAGGCGCAAAGAACAGAATTAAAACAGGATGGGGGAAGACGGGAGCTGGAAAGGGGGGGGGGGGGGTGTTGAGTAAGGAAGCGAGATTTTGGGGCCCTCTGTAGGTGAATCCTATTGGAGTGTATGCGTTGGTGGGTGGAGGTTGGAGGTGGTGATGGCCAGATTTGTAAAATCCTAATCGGATTCGCGTAGATTGGTACGAGATTTGCGTGTGGCCAAGAGGGTAGAGAACTGGCGAGAGAGTCGAGATGTCTAGCCTGTCTGCCTTGAGAGAGAGAGACCTTTTGGGAGAGAGTTAGGTTGTGAGAACCTAAACCTCGATGATATTTGGGGGAGGGGCTGAGAGCATATCGGAATGGCTGGGCATTACAACATGCCTAACAATCACCACTCGTGCAACACAATTGACAATCGCACGTTGCACTCAATTGGGGACAAAAAGCCCTTAATTCAATGCGGCTCTGCACGAGTATTCCCATAGAAAGTGATATTAAGGGTCATTATTTACCTTTTATTTCCCCTTTCCGATATATACAGCAAGCATGCCGGGGTCTGGAGGGGGAAGGGTTTGATAATATGCATGATGACATGCAAATCAACGTGGAGATTAACTGCTTAAGGTGAAGTGGGGACCTTAACCTTCGAACCTTTCACCAGCAGCCAGTAAGAAGGCTCCCTTTTCCCTTTAGGACCCCTTCCACCATCATCATCATCATCACCCAGAGGTCCCTGAACCCTTTCTACCCCTTCGCGCCCGCTCGCCCGCCGTTCCCGTCTTCCCTCTTAGTTAGTAGTTAGGCGCGGATGCTGTATTTAGGCGAGCGACCAGACGGTAAAGCGTTAGTCTACTTACTCCTCTACTCTGGAGCCTGTTTGTTTACCCATCGAGTCTCCCTGTTAGAGACGAAGTAGAGTGAGTGCCTGTGGTTAGTGTCTATAGATAACTCATCTTTGTCTCCATCGTCCTCATCTTCATTGAAATCAATTCATCAGTCATCATCCATCATCCATCGCAGCAGACAGACACATGTCACGATGGGGAGATTCCAATGCATACAACACATGGAGTGAGTCCATATCGTGAACAATCGCAGCCTTCTTTCTTTCCCGCCTTTGATGGCCTGCATGTGCTGCTCTCGAGACCGCAGACTGGGTGGACTCGCAGAGTGAGTGAGTTGAGTGTACGAGTAGAGTACCACATACACCCATCCATTTCTGCTGAGCCGACTCATAGACAGAGGAGCAGTGGTGTATGTAGCACAAGCCCACAGAAGGCCGCCTTGTGAAACGCTCGTCACGTCACACCTCCCTCACTGCGCCGTTACCACCACCACCACCCACCATCTCTCGAAAGGTACAATTCCCCATCCATCTCACTCACCAGACTCACGGATCTAGGGATGGAGTAAGCACTTGTACCTAAACGTAACTCATCTCGCTGTAATGCTGCTGCTGTATGTACCCCTCACGCAAATGCCCGGGCTTCTAGAAGAAAGGGGGGATCGAGTGTACCTGAGAATCATCTCCCCCCCCCTCAACCCCTACATAAGCTCTCCCGGCACCAGATAGAAGATACTCAGAGTAGAGATAGAGAGAGTCAAGGAACCACCGTATGTACCTACATAAATGCGCACACCTTATCGCATAGATATGACTGTACACTGCCCCACTGCCACAACCACCACATAAGTTGACCATCCCACACACATGACACAGACCCCCCCCCCCCGTATCGATATCTCCTACCCCAGATACCTTCCTACATACATACCTGGTCCTCTCTCCCCAACCACAGCATCTTCGGTTTCCCCGTCCCTCTATTCATCCATTCATTCTTCCTCCTCCATGTCAAACGAGCACCCACGGAGCACCCTCCGCGAACAGCTCAGTGGCTTACACCCTCCTCCCCCTCCTTCCCCTCCAACCCTCCCGGTGGCAGTGCACACGGGAAAAGTCACTTCTCCCACTACCTCTCTCTCTCCCCTTGGAGTACTTTTTCCGTCCTGTCGGCAGTTGCGTTTCGTTTGTTTCGTTTCCAAATAAAAACCCCACTGGAAGATCGAATTATAAGGTTGTTTCGTGTGTGGGTGTGTGATATTGCCGGCCGCCAACTAACCCGGGCAGGCATTGCGATTATGATTTTTTTTTCCTCTTTCGGGGAATTTTTCTGCGCCCTGGTGTGAATCTTGCGACTCGTAGTGAGATGAAGATTGATAGATTTGATTGATCGATTGAATACTAGGTAGCTTTGTAGATTGATACCCGTAATTTGGACCTGGACCTGGACATGGCCGGGTTTGGAGTGTGCATGCGAAGAGATGTTAGGATTGATTTGAATCAATACAGAACTGAGGCCTAAAGGGCTAGAACAGAACAGAGTAACTGCATCATGGAGTAGATCACTGGCCATGGTCTCGATTCTTCATGGACTGGAACAATAGTGCAGCTGCACGGCTGACTCTAATGACGGATATCGAAAACAGGGAGGTTTTTTCTCACCCAAAATTCGTGATGGAATAATCCCAAGTTACGGACTCGGAGGTAACAATCTCTGAAAGAGTACATACTGTCCTCGAGGCCTGCTGTTAGCCACTCGGCTTGGTACGAAGCTACACTAACACTAGTGCCACAACACTGGCAATTGTTTGATGCCAAGACCCACGGCGCGCCGGCCAATGATCGGTTGGTAGCATTATTAGTAGTGGCCTACTAGTAGAGTATAGTCATAACGGGCTTTGTTGGGAGCATCGTGGGCACGGGTATAGTGTCTATGGGGTTAATCACTAAATTAGTTTATCTACTCTCGAGCGATATTATTATTCTTGAAGGCTATGTATGAGTAGCACTAGTCGCCGTCACCATGTAGTGTTCTCCACGACCATGAGACGAGAAGTCTTGGAGGCTTGTCTCGGGACTCTTCTCTAGGGAAGCTCGATAATAAATGGTTTTGGTCTTGAAATCTACCAAGATAAACCAGTGGCATAAAGTAGATATTAGGGATAAAATGATCTAGTCAACTGTATGTTTGTTACACATTGTAGTGCGTGGCGCTTGGCAAGCTTTCGGAATAGGTGGTCAACTGGGGCAAAAGGGAAACATAGCAGGAGCAGGCACTTGGATTACATGTTATGTAGTTTCTCTCTGTCACTCCTTGGTCATCCATCATCAATACCTCTCTCTAGCTCTGTCACTCTTAGAAGATCATCCATCATCAATACCTCTACATGTATTGCTACGTCCGCGTTCATCATCGGTTTGAATTTTCGTATGCAGGTTCTGGACAAGACTCTAGGAGATACGAGAGCCAGCCTGCAACGTTTATCAGGCAGAATTTGAACAGTTAATGGCTCTCAACTACTCACTCGATTTCTCAAGACTGATTAATTTAGAATAGGTAAGACAAGACAATACCGGCGCCCTTATTTGACAGGACGAGACAAGACAAGACTGGGCCTTAGTCTCTTCTTGAACGGTGTCGCGGAGAATACTACGTGACCAGTTTCATGTTTAAAGCTTCTGTTTACTTCGAATATCTGTCACAGTACACTCACTAGTGGCCCTTGGACTGTTTAAATTCTGGAGTATAACCCTTATGGACGATTATAAGTTATATACTCGGAATACAGTCGTTCACGGGGTGAAGACGGACACTGGGTGCTGACGAGCAAGGACCCTGTGTATGCCAAGCTTCACAAATAATTCTTTTTGACGATTCCTATTCGTTGAAACCCCCTGTCCGTCAACATCCAGTGCCCGTCTTCACCCCGCGAACGACTGTATCTATTGTTCGCTCAAACTGTTATGGTCCTATGGGCCCGTCTCTTTACTTCATACACCTTATCTTCTCTGCCTCGGAGGCCGCTTTCACACGAAAACTTGGTATAAACATAGTTTGTAGAGGTTCTTTCAGGCGCGACCTTAAAAGGTTAGCACGGGGGCTGTTCATCGGCAAGCCAATCGATGTTCTCTACCCCTCTCTTACCTCAGACCTCTTTTCCGTTCTGCACCAGAATTGGAGATAGCAAATATCGACAATGTGTCTCAGCATCCGTATCGATAGTAATCCCTGACAGCATCTTCATCATGTGATCGCGACCTCGGCACAACACAGCTCCAGCTACAAGCGACTGAAGCTCTGAATATGGAGCTTCCCGAGGCAGCTTGAAGCCAACTCCAGAATTCCCACGAACTCTCACGATACTTCACGACATCTCCTCTCCTCTCCTCTCCTCTCCTCAGCTCAATATATCCCCACAATGGCCGAATGGAAGAACAAGCCCACCTTCCCACCCGGTTTCCAGTACTCCAGCTTTGCCGATGCAACCACCATCACGCCCGCCGCCGACACCGATAACAGCCTCCCTCCGAACTCCGGCGTCTATACCGCTGACCTCAAGCGCGACTGGTGCATTGGCTTCGGTACGCAGACTCCCACCTCCACCGCCCACCCCTCACACTAACACCCCCTCACAGTCCCCCACGGCGGCTACCTCACCGCCCTCCTCCTCAGGACCGCCCACAAACACATCACCACCCACCCAGCCCTCGCACCCCTCAACCAGCCCCACGCAATCCACATATCCTGCACCTTCTTCAACTCGTGCACCCCCGGCGCCGCGCGCATCGCCATCACGCCCGTCAAGACCGGCCGGCAGTATAGCTTCCTCCGCGCCACGCTCACGCAGAACGGCGGCGCACGGCTCTGCTTCGAGGGCCTAATCCCCTTCACGAATCTCGAGACCTTGCAGACCGGCCCCACGCTGCCGACCGCGTCCACGCTGCCGCAGCGAGGCATTCCGGATCGGGAGACAGAGTGTGTGCAGGCGCCGAACGCGAGCGATCCGCGGGTGGATGTGAGGCCGGTATCGAGGAAGCTGGTATATGCGGTGCCGGCGGCGGGGACACGCAAGTATGGTAGCCTTGAAGGGTCGCCGAGCGTGAGGGAGCAGTGGGTGTGTTTTAGGGATGGGGGGAGAATGGATATGCCTGCGCTGGGGTTCTTGAGCGATATGGTAGTTGTCCCCGCGTCCCCGCGTCCCCCATCCCTCTACCGCGTCCCTTTAGTTTAAACTGACCCGCGGTGGGTAGTTCCTCCCGATACCGGAGAACTACAAAGAGACCTCCCGGACGCACTGGTACCCGACGCTCTCGCTGAAGATCGAGGTGAAGCGCCCCCCGCCGGCGGAGGGGTGGAAGTGGCTGTTCTGCCGCATCGAGTCGCGCGAGATCCGTAACGGCCGCATGGACGTCATGGTGGACATCTATGACGAGGATAAGAACTTGGTCGCCATTGCGAACCAGCTAGCGATCATTGTCAGCAGTGACAGGAATAAGCCAAAGACTTTGGTGCCAGCGAAGCTTTAGAGGGCAGTTGGCTGGTGAGGGGTGGGTGGCGTGATTACAATTGTGTGTAGGACTAGAGTAGAAGTGATGTAGATGATCTGCGAGCGATCTTTATTTTTATACACTGCCTTTATGGGTGGTGCTTGCACATGTCTGTTCCGTTTATGCAGCTTTGTGGCGAGAGGAAGATCACCGTGTATCGCGCATCGTGATCGGCCAGAAGCCCCGTACCGTTTCCCGGTAATGACCATCCTGACATGAATGTTTGCACAGGTCGGGTCGGTTGGGATCATGGGATGTCACTCGGATTTGTCGACATATTTCCGGTATGTGACTACATGTATATGTAGCCATCTAGCTTCTCATGTTAACACAAGCTACATGTTAACACAAGCTACATGTAACTACATAACTACCAATCGATTCCCCGTTCATCAAGGAGGGAGCGCTACTCCACGAACCATTCATCACACACAGGAGGTAAGGTGGAAGTAAAGCATGACACATGTATTCAAATTCATACATCCACACATCCACACATCCACACACATACAGATAGAAACATGGCAACATCAAAGGCAGCACAAACAGTAATACAACATTCACCAGAGCTAAGCAATATATAAAATCGACAAGAAGAAGATGATAACAAAAAAAAAGCAATATACCAACCCAAACATAGAAGCAGAGCGAACAAAAATGGGAAAAAACAAAAACCACAAGCTAAAGCTAAAGCAGCAAACTCAACAAACACCAGTCCTCCATTGAAAGAGAAAAAAAAAAAAGAAAAAAAAATCCACATCGTAAACTCCGGTTTCAAACTCCTAAACACAAGTATAAAAATAAAAAGATAATAATAATAATAATAATAAAAAGAAGAAACGACAACAATTGCAAATAAACGCCTGGCTTGCTAAATACTAGACTAGAATCGGAAGCAAAGGAAGGAAATAAAAAAATAAAAATAATACCATAGCCAGCCAGCCAGTCATGGGAGCTACCAAATCAATTGCAAGTAAGCATAAACTCCCACCACCCCACTCTTTAATGACCTGCGCTCCCTCTCTAACCATCCAAGCATGAGGCATCAAAAAACTTGAAAAATAAAAAAGGAAAAGAAACAATATAATAAAAAATAAAAAAATAAACTATATAAAAACGAATCGAATTCCGCGCCCCCACCTCCCTAAAGGCCTCAAACATCAAACATCATGCCCAACCTCCACATTAATCCCTGGAAACAGCTGCCCCAGCTCCGAGAACTTTGACCCAACCCCAACAGCCCCAATCCCAGCCCCGGCAGCCATGCACTCTCCAAAGGCGCTAGTATCCACCTCATGCCCAAAATAGGGCAGTTGCTGCTGCTGCTGCTGCTGCATCTGCTGCGGGTCACTATGCATCATCATCATGGCCTGATGCATTGGCAGCAAGCTGTTGTGTACCGCCGCGTGCTGGTTGAACCCGCCCGCAATGGTGAGAGGGATCGAGCCCGCGCCAGCAGATGTCTGGATACCAAACTGGTGGGTAAAGTGCTGCATGATCTTCGGGTCCGCATATGTGAAGTTGGCGGTATTGTCCCACGAGGCCCACGAGAAACCGTCATTGGGGGTTTGGTGGTGGTGGTGGTTGACGCCGCCCAGTGGCATGCCCTGCATCAACGAGTCCATCGCGTTTAGCTGATTATCGGCGGCGGCGGCGGCGGCGGCGGCTTGACCCTCGCCGCCGTCATCGTCCTCGTTATCTTCGCTGCTATCACCCTCGTCCTGACAGGCCGCAGCTGAAGCGGCGCCGGCAGCGTTGTCTCTTCCCCGCTTGCTATATGAGGTCTTATCCCGCGGCACCTCCACATTCACCTCAATCATCCACTTCCTCAGCTCCGCCATCTCGGGCACTGCATGCTGCTCCAGCGCACCCACTGATGCGGCCGCAGCCGCAGCCGCAGCCGCCTTCTTGCCATTCTTGCCACCCCGCACCTTGGGCTTGAAGTGCTGTCTCCTCAGGTGCGCAGCGGCATTATAGTCCACGCCGTACTTCTTCCCGCTCTGGCAGGCTTTGCACTTGGCAAGGAGTGTCTTCCCCTTTGAGATGTCGTTGATGACATACATCTTTCTGGTCAAGGCGTGCTCTCTGTCGGTGTGACGACGTAACTCATGGTCACCGCGGAAGCCCTCAGGATGGGCCGCGCATTTGTTGCAGAAGACGCGTGGGTGCGGGGGGCGGACATAGGTGGATTTCGTCGTGGCGCTGACGGCCGGTGGCGTGTTTGGGTTCTTCCCGGGCTTGATGGTTGGGAGCGGGCGGGAGGCAGTGGTGGTGCTCTTTGGCCGGACTGGGGAGACGGGGCTTGAGGGCTTTTGCGACTCTGGCTTTGGCACTTGCTGTTTGGCATCCATAGTAGTAGTAGTAATAGTAGTGGTAGTGTCGGACGTAGACTGAGGAGTCGGCGGCACGGGAGGAGGACGCTGTAGTATCTCAGCTACAAGCTTCTTCTCCATCTCTTCGCAATTCTTCAGCTCCTGCTTCACCGCCGCGGACGCCTCCTCCTTCACATCCTCCTCCTTAACCCTCCTCTGTTTCTTCAGCCCCGGCGAACCCTGCGAATAGTAATCCGTCAGCCCCGCCAACCCACCATCCAGCTCCTCCGACGACCTCTTCAACACCACCTGCCCCTCCACCCTCCCCAGGTCCCCGCACGCCCCCGCAAACCCCCCCACGCCGCACAACAGATCCCCCATATCCATATCATCAGGGAAAATGTCGCCACCCATACTCCCCGTCGACGACTGGACCCTCAGCATGGAGAAGCCCGCATCGCACCCGCTCGCCCCGCTGCCCTGCCGGCTCATCTCGTGCTGGCCAAATACGAAGCGCTCAGACTCGGCGGAGCCGTGCGAGAAGCTGCGCGTGTGCTTGTTGTTCTGCGGGCTCAGGTCCAGGTCCGGGAACACAGAGTCCTCCGTGTAGCTCGACGAGAGCTGCGACGACGGCTGCGACCGCATCTGCGGCGCGCTGAACGGGTTGATGGTGAGTGCGGGGTAGCCCTTGTTGGAGCGGGACCCGCTGAAGCTTTCGGGGCGCAGGGCCAGCGGGAACGGGTCATCGTTCTGGTAGAGGTACTCCTGGAGGGCGGCGCCGGTGTCGAGGTCGAGGCCGAGAGAGTGCAGGACTTGGTAGGTGGGTGCAGTGCTGGGGGCCGAGGTGTACTGTGTGAGTGGCTGTGGTTGCGGTGGGTCCGCCGGTGTGACGGGCACCGTGTTGACGAATTGCGTGGGGGAGCGGCCGGCGCGGAGGGCGAAGCTATGCTGAAGGCTGTTGTGCTGCGGGTTGGTCTGTGGACGGGGAATAGTAGATATACACTCAGCGCCTGATTTCTCATAATATTACACCGAAGGACCACCGCCAACACTCTCTTCAAGCCTTATGTGTATGGAGAGATAAATAAAAATAAAAAGCAAGGGAGAATCATACCGAGTTTCCTCGCACCATCCGCTGGCCCCCAGCCCCACCAAGTGGTGGGAGATTCGATGTCTGCGGACACGATTCTGGCCTAAAGCCACCGCTACCATTAATATTCATACCACCACCACCGCCGCCGCCTATCTGGATCGCTGAGCTCCGCTGGATTGTGTTAAAATCTATTGGGGACTGCAGCTGTTGCTGTTGCTGTTGCTGTTGCTGGGCGCTGAGGAAGCTCTTTACGACTTCATCAGTGTCGAGGCTGGGGTTGAGTTTCTGGAACTCTGCAAACTCCCGTAGTTGGCGCTGGCTGGCGTCTTCCGCGTCTACTTGATCTACTTCTAGAATCGAGTTTACGTGTGGAGATGCCATCCGAAGGGCCCGTCCGTTTTTCCGAGGATGAGGGGAGTTGTTGGTTTATGCTGATAACGGTGCTGCTGCTGATGCTGCTGCCGCTGTGTAGAAAAATAATAGCTGCTAGCTAGCTAGCTGGCAATGTGTATGTATGTATGTGTGTGTAGCTGTGAAGCTTGATACGGGGTGATAATTGTTTTTTTCCCACCCCGGAGGTTGTAATTGGTTTTTTTTTTTTTTTTTTTTTTTTTTAGATTTTTAGTCTTCTAGTAGTACCTGAACCAGCCAGCTACAAGGGAGAAATCTAATGTGTTTTCACTAAAATATTGATCTCTCTCTTTTTTGTAAATTAAGAGGATTTTCTTTTTAATTGGTTCGTTGTAGTAGTAGTAGTAGTAGAAGTTGGTTCTTTGACTTTGATTTGATTTTCTTTATAGATAGCTATGTAGTTTTCTACTAATTTCCCGTCAGCCGGTGATTCTTGCAAGGAAGCGGTGGTAGCGGTGACAGTGGGTGGGAAGCCGGGCTGGGGTAGAGTTGGGCAGCTGGGTTGGGCAGGTGGAAGGGAGGATGATCTGGAGGGGTACAGCAACGACGTCCCCCCAGGGCAATGGCGGGGCAGGTCAGGCAGGCAGGCAGGCAGGTAGATAGATAGGTGGGATTGAACACGATAAGGAACTTGGGAGCAACCAACACTTTCGGGGTTATGAGCTCGACGCAATCTTTACCTGACGAGCTGGGGGGAGAAAAAAGAGAAGGGAGAAGAACTCTAGCTCTTGAAATATATATTCGGTATATAGTAGTAGCAGCAGCAGCAGCAGCAGTAGTAGTATAGTAAGCGGGGGGGAAGGAAGGAAGGAAGGAAGGAAGGAGGGGAACGAGCTAGACGGGATGCTATGTATGGAGGGCAAATCAAAAGAAGGAAGCTATGTAGGCTGGTAGGCGCCGTTCGTGGTTGTTGGCGATGGATCGGTGGGTTCGAAAGGAATGAAGATAAGACAGAGTCGAGCCGTTGTGGGGTAATAATAGATAGATAGCGGGCAGCGGTAGTGGGGAGTGTAGTGGTATACGTAGTTGTGAGTGGCAGTCGTGTTCTGTTGTCGTTGCAAGCAAGCAACAGAGAGAGTGGATATAGTATGGAAGAAAGAGTAGTATAGGTAGTATAGAAGCAGAAGTAGTATAGAAGCAGAAGTAGAAGAGAAGCAGAAGAAGCAGAAGAAGCAGAAGTAGAAGTAGAAGTAGAAGAAGTAGAAGAAGTAGAAGCAAATATATAAGCCAGGTATGGTACGTGTGTATGCAGTATAGCTAGTAATAGTAAGATAGTAGTAGATAGTAGTAGTAGTAGTATACGTAGTAGTAGTAGTACGTCGTAGTAGTAGTAGTAGTAGCGTAGCAGTAGTCAAGTAGGAAGAAAGTATGCCACCAAAAAAAACCAACTTTATGAACAAATCTCGGAGAATAAATAAGAAGCGTCTCAAACAGGCCAGCCAGCCCTCCAAGGGATTTCCCAAAAAGTAAAAAAAAACCCTCAAACAGTTTTTATGTGTGTGTGGTAGTTTGCTGGTATGGGCGGTGGTGGGGGTGGGGTGGTGAGAGTAAGAGGGCCCAAAAGTTGAAGCCTCTCTCTCTCAGAGGTTCGACGTTCGACGACGACGTCTCTCAACTGCACTGGCAACTGGCACTGGCAACTGGCACTACCTACTCTCTCTGCACCTCTGCACTCTCTCATACTAGCTAGCATGGGCTACACTTTCACTCCTCCCAAGACAAGACGTAAGTACACCTTTTTGTCAGCCTACCTCTAGATTGCCTGCCTGCCTGCCTGCCATGCCATGCCATGCCTGCTTGCTTGCCCGCTCTGCTTTCCGCCATCATGCCCCCAGCCCGGCCCAGCCCAGTGCAGTGACAGATATGACGGGCCTCCTCCTAGTCCCTTCCCTGGCTAAAGCAAAGAAAGAAAGAAAGAAAAAAACCTGTGCGTCCTGTAACCTACTGCGCACCTGGGTGTATGTGTATGTGTATGTGTATGTGTATGTGTATGTGTACTCTATGTGTGGTGGTGGTGGTGGTGGTCGTACAACCACCACCACCACGACGACGACGCTGGAGTACAGTACCTATATTCCGCGGCCAATCACCATGCACGGGCAGGCAGCCAGTGGATCGAGGCGGACACTGCTGGCATGGGCTGATTGGGCGGGACGGCCGTTCGGTGTGTGTTCCGCCTGGTAGGCGCAAAGAAGGCGGAGGGCTCGAAGGACGACGAAGGGAGGGTGGAGGGGAGGAGGAGCGGGGATGGGCGAATGGGGTGGTAGGGAGGGGTGTTTTGCCCTGGGGGGTTTTTTTTTTTTTTGGGGGGGGGGTTTGAATTTCTTGTTTGGAGAATGGAGGGAGAGAGGGTTACGAGAGTAGCTAGCTAGCTGGCTGGAAGGGTGGTGGAAAGGGTGGATGGAGGGATACGACTCACTCATTTACTCACTCACTCACTCACTCACTCACTGCTCACCTTGCTCACTCCATTGCCAATGGGACCGCAAAGGAACATGGGATATCCTGGATTGACAAATGTCATACAGGGACCTTTCGAGTTGAGGAGGTGAGATGGAGGGACGTAAGTGGGTAGAGGTAGAGGTTACATTTACATGTTCGTTGTAGAGCAGGCCAAGTAGAGTAACCATGCCATGAGCGCTCTAACTACTTGTGGATATATGTACTGTAGCTAATACTCTTAGTAGTAGAGCTACATGTAGCTCATGTAGCTCATGTAGAGAGCTAAGAGCCCTACCCGCGCGGTCAATTCGTTCGTCTATGGGCCCGTGGAGGATTGCAGCTGTCCAACTCACGGATGGGAGTGGAAGTGCACTAATTGTTGTATTTAGCTATATGTCTGTGGAGGAGTACTATGGCCGTTCTCTGGCAGGTACATGGAGTAACGCTCCCGCTGTCTGTAACTGGATGTATGTAGTACTCGGTACTCGTACTCATTTCCTCTCCTCTCCTCTCCTCTAACTTCCCTGCTCTCTCTGCCGGTGCACCGTTCTCTTCGCACACTCCCAGTCTCGAACTAGAGCCTCACTCACACTCACGCTCACCAAGGTATGTAGCTCCCACTCACACCCTCACCCTCACTCACTCACTCACTCACTCACGATGCCCGATCTCTGTCTGCGTTGGTCCACGCGCGCATCACCAGAACCAGAAACTCAATTCTGCCTTGCTGCTTCTTCTTCCTAGCTTCTCTTTTCTGTTCTGTCCCCCAAACAGGAACGCCGCTCACCCTCAATCGGGATACATATTACGCAAAATGCAAAATGAGATATGAGGAGGGTTATGTAGAAAAGAACACACTCAGCGGAGGTGTAAACCGCGAACCATTTCGTTTCTGCTTGACAATTACCTGTGTGAAAAATGTATGTATGTACATACAATGTAGGCAGCTAGCTACATACATCTACATCTACATACAAGTACTCTAGAGTAGACCTGCCTGCCATGCACGATCCAACCTAGAGTAGGTTTCTCGCCATCCCACCCAGCTAATCCACCCACCCAATTGCACCACCGGCACCACCACCGCCGAAACAGAAACAGAAAACAGAAAACAGAAAACCAGAAACCAGAAACCAAACCAAATCAAAATCAAGAACAGTCTCTGCTTGCGCGCGCGCGCGCGGGAGCATGTGCGCATAGCGCAGCTCCGCATCCGCACCCGCATGCATACATATGCACCGCACCCTTCCCTTCCCCGGGTTTAACTACCAGCCAGCCAGCCAGCTAGAGTAGAGTAGAGCACTCTAACCATTCATGGGTGAGCATGAGGCTGGAAACTGAACTGACTTGACTGACTGAACTAAAGTGCCAGCACATCATGGTGGTGGTTCTACTCGCTAGAGTAGGAGCTGTCACTGTACCGCCCGGCCCCCTCCCTCTGCTTCTGCTTCTGCTCTACACCCCCTCCCATCGAGAAGTATGTAGCTATTCTACCCCTCCACACACACACACACACACACACACCCCTCCCTCCGTCCGACCCCTCCTCACCCCCAAGCCGGACCATGGCGCCGGGCCTTCTGGAACAAAAGGTGTGGGTTTGGAAGTTGGCGATGGCTACGTAGCTGGTTCTGTACTTGATCTGGCTCTTGCTGAGAGGGGTGTCGAAGTGAAGCAGTGATCTTGAAAGAGGCAGGATTTCCCCATCATATCCTATCCTATCCCATCCGGCAAGTTACGTATCTGTGTCTGTCTGTCTGTACCTTTCTCAGAAGTAGAAGGAAGTATCGTTGCACAAGCACAATTAAGACAAGAGCCAGAAGTTCCAACTCCCACCCCCCCGCGATACATCTAAGAAACCGGGCACGGCCGGGCCCCTCCAGATGGAGATATGACAGATCAAGGGACCAGGTTGAGTACTAGACATTGCCTTTGTGGCATGTATGTACCGTGCTCCTCCCTCCGCACATGTCACTGTCACCGTCGCTGTTGTAAATCATCAAACGGCTTGTCCTCCGGGTGGACAATGGCAATGGACAAGGTAACTATTGCAAGGTAGTTATGTAGTTAGCTACAGAAGTATTGTGCATCCATCCCCATCCATGGCCCCATCGTACCTACATTATGACATGCCCTCTTCTCGATCCTCTCGTCTCGTCTTGTTGTTGTCCAAGGCTATGAAAAATGCTCTCTCTCTACCTGCTCTACCTGCTCTACCTGATGCAACATTGCACTATAGCCTACGTAGTTAGATTCTCTAGAGCACCCAGCTAGGTATAAGTCGACTCATACTCATATACTCATATCATATCATATCATATCACAGTGATCTTGTCGGCCGGTCTGTGTATCGTAGCTATCTACTTGTAGTATTACATAAGAACTACTCCTTTACCCGCTCTGCTATGATACAGTTTCACAAACAAAAGTTGACACTCCCGAAATTCGAATCGGAGCCCCGATCGACCCGACGCCCGGCCATTGTCATACAGTGCAGACAGACAGACAGTCCCGCTCACGTGGCTTGATCAGGCTGTCTTGACCAATGTCATAATCGCCCAGCCAGCCTTTGAAAAACCCAGTTGAGCACTCACTTCACTTCAGAAAGCAGGCAGGCAGGTAGGCAGGCATCCACCGGCCGGGCCGGCCGGGGAGTTTCTCCAAAAGGGCATATTATGATATGATGCACTAAACACAAAACACTTCCCTCTGTACCTATTTCCCTTCGTATCTGAACTGCCCAGTATTTTACTGCAGTACCAATATAGAGTAAATACATACACTTCCCATAATTTATATGTAGCAGCCAGCCAGTTGGGTGGCGGTGCACTAGTGCAGCGCAAAAGTATATTTACATCTACCTACATACTTTACGGCGTAGAAAAATGCGGGGGAGGAGCAGGAGGAGGAAGAAGAGGGTCGGTGCATTCATGTCTCAGTTAATTACATTAGGTTTAGTTTCACCTTTTTTTTTTTTTTTTTTTGCGGGGAGGATCTGGGGGAGACAGAGATGCGATATCTCGGATCGGGGGTACGGTGTGTGCACTCTTACATGTATGATGTAGGTAGGCAGGTTCAGATGAGAGGGAGGGAGGGAGGGAGAGAGAGAGAGAGAGGGGTCCTAGCACATGAGGAACGTCAGAAAGAGGTACCTACTGGGGAGGGGAGGAATTTTCAAAAAGAAGGTGCATGGGGAAGCGCAGCTAGGGTACACCTGGGATCGAGGCAGGGCAGGGTGTACTGTTGATCTTGATTTTGATTTGCGGGATGAGACAAGACGAAACTGAAGATTGCCAAATCAATCAATCGAAATCCTCGGTACAGGTGGGTATATATTGTGATATGGGATATATGGTAAATATAGTGCAAATACGCTACATGTATGTTGTGAGAATGAGTGAGGAGTGAGTGGACGAATAGATGAATGGATGAATTAATGGATGAATGATTGAACGAACGAATACGTACGTGGGGTAAAGATGTGAATTAAGCTGGCCACCATATCAGAAAATACTTGTAACGTTTTAAACGTTTCCTCACCGCAATGCTATATACATAGCCCTCAGCCCCGTTTCCGATATAATTTTAGGGTCTAAGCAGTGCTCCAACGTGTATTTATATATCGAACATACATTGTACCTACATCCTACATTATACTTTACGTACGATATTACAATTGAAATAGAACACACAAAATCGCAAAGACACCGGTATATACCGATCACTACAGCCTCGGCCTCGAGCTCTCGTATCACAATCACACCAGTACCATGTAACTTACGAAATCACTACCAGTACAGGACTGCGGAATTTAGTACAGAGCACGGAGTTAAACCGGCGTTATTTGCAAAGGAAGTACCGTTATACCAGTACTGTATTCGATCTTGTTACATTACTACATGTATGTAAGTGTAGTAGCGCACTAACGGCAATCCCGTAATGAATCCACACCCGTTTTGGTACTGCGGTTATCTACATCCCAACCCTCCCAACCTGCTACCCTACATGACCATCCCCGGTGGCGTCTTGGTCTCGTCGTCGCCCCATCTACTGAGCTACTCTACTCTACGTGCTAGTGCTAGTGCTAGCGGCTTCACAGGCAATCACTCGCCCACAAGCGCAATTTCCGCCCTTTGTCCAATCACAGCACGGGGGCAGCCAGAGAAGACGTCCAGAGCTAGCTAGCTAGAATAGAGCATGAATAAGTTTATGTCAGCACCATGCAAGGTCGACATGTCAGCCAGCGGAAGCAGCGGCATAATGAAAAAAATAAGGATAGAGGAGGATCGAGGCGCCGGAGCCGGTGTCTGGGAGTCAAGTCAGGTGCTCGCGGAGTGAAGTGGGTTGGGATGGATGGATGGATGGATGGATGGGTTGGCTGTATCGGTCAACATGGATTTTTTCTTTCCTCCACTTCAACCGAATAGTTAATTGTTTGGCATGAGCTTAAGCTTAATCCGCATGTCCCGCCGCACGTTCTAGTGGTAAGCGAATGCGGGAAGGAGGAAAGGAAAGGAAAGGGAAAAAATGGGTAATGCTCCGCCTGGTCGAGGATTTCGATATGGGTATGCCTGGAGAACTCCTTCATCCTAATTCTAGACCACTGCTGGCTAAAATGGGAGCCCTTGACCGGGTTTTGGGGTCAGTTTACCTATTGCATTAGATTTAATTACCTCGATTGCTACCTGGGGTTTTAGCAGATAATGTGCGATGTAAATAATACACACAATTGAGACCTAGGTTGATCACCTTCCTCCTCTAGCCCGCTCTTTGCCTGTCGCCTATGTCCGGTACGGCGAGCCGGGGGGTCGAGGGGTCGAGGGGTCGGAGGTGCGATTGTTTGTTTGTTGAGAGCGACATAGAATTATCGAGAAACAAACTGCAGGTAAAATTAACGATCATCAATACAATGCGGGTGGCGGTAGTAATTCCCAGGATCGAATAAAAAGAGTCGAGTACGTCCTAGGTAAATATAATACGGTAAATGTAGAGTAAGCTCATGCTCATGAAGTGTCAACAAAGGTTCCCCTATAAACCGCATTAGATCCACCCATAGAGAGCGAACGCTGGATAGCTGAAAGATCAAAGGCAGATGGGGCCAGGGTCATGCTTGCCTAAACTCAAGAAATTTCCGCGTTATTGGCCATGGACATCGTGAGAATGCTGAGTAGAGTGTAGCTACCTACATGCAATATTAATATGTAGAACCGTTGTTATTAGAGCAAGCAGTAAAATTTAAAAAGTTAACACCCAGTACCGTGCTCGAGATAACATAATCACATCTGCATGCACAGTACAGTAGACCGCGAGATGAATCCACAGGCAATCTTCTCCAAGCGCCTTGAACAGAGCCTCAGCATATTATTAGAAATCCAACAAGGATTTTTTTCTTTTGTGCGGCGCCGCCTGGTCGTCGCCCCAACATACATATGCCTATTATCCTTCCTTACTTTGCCATTGACGATGGAAACGGGCTCATTCTCATTATTCTCTTCTTTCTCCTCGATCATCTCCATACGTGTACCCGACGAACTCCGCCAGCGTAGTATAGTCTCAATCTTATAACGCGCGCAATATGAGTTAGTAAATCCAAACCCCTCCCCCCTTTGACTTGAATTCTGCAGCTACCCGTCGTACTGACCATGTGCACCTCATCCAGCTACACGTTGGAGTCTTGACAAGTTCCCAACCTTCCCGTTGATCCAGACCGGAAGGCACAAGTCAAACGCGGTGGTAAGTTATAAGTGGTCAATGGTTCTGGAGGGGCGCCTGAATTGATGCCCCATATAGATTGCGAATGGCTCCTCCCCGCCAGTAGACGACACCAGCGGCGCCCTTCAAGCCACCACCACCTCCTCCGCCGCCGCCGCCGAACCATTAAGCCCACTCCGATGTTTTCGGGAAGATTGTGGAAGCTATTTCTCGGATGATGGTTTATACAGGTACGTTTCCCAATCAAGAGTTTAGATAGCTAGCTCGGATCCGGCCTATATTGGTAGCTACTAGCTAGCTACACCCATCCATGTAGTTACATCTAGTAGTTCTGGTAGTAGCATTGGTGCTTTCGGTCAGATGTGTTGACATTTCCCCCATTGTCCGATCAGAGAACACACCAAGGTTTGCCGTACCCCAACCAGACGCTACCACTGCGCTTTCACCAAATGCGCCGAGAAATTCGCCGCCTCCAGCATCGACGCCTTTATCCGGCACCAAGCGACGCACCGGATCTGGTACTGCGAAGTAGAGGTTTGCGCCTTCAGGAAACGTGAGAAAGCTCTGAAGCATGTTATAAAGCACCACAAGTCGGAAGAATCATTGAAGATGACCTGGCTCCCGGTGCCACCGAAGAATTTGAAGAAGGATGTAAGGCCCTGCCTGAATATGGGTGTGAATCTTGACCTCGGCGACTTCTTGACCCAGATTTCCGGTGGAGGGACGTTAGGCAGGCAGGCGAGTGCGCTGCTGAGTCCCCGTGATAATGGAGGCGTGGATATCAATGGTGTTGGAGAGTCGCTGCAAACAGCGGTGTTGGCACATGTGCTTGGGCAATTGAACATGCTAGGGGATCTGCTGGAGCATCAATCGCTCTCACCTAGTGCTGCTGAACACGCCCAGATAGTGCAATCTCTTGATAGGATACGTGATAGATTGGGCGCCAGAGAGCAAAGGAACGGATTCTGGCTCGGTTGGAATGCAGGGTTTGGATTTCAAGCCGGTCCCGAATCGACTTCTTCTTCTTCTCGAGGCATCAACAGTCCGGGGATTCGACACGAGATTGGGACAATCTCGGTGGACCGTAGCGTTCCGGCTGCCCCCCAGATGTCCCCAACCAGTGAGATTGTGGTAGGACGGGAGTTTCTTCCAAACATTGAAAGCGAGTCCGAGGATGATTCCGATGGAGATATCGAGGCAGAATCGAGTGCCGCGCCGACAAAGGAACCCCAACAAGAGGCGCACCTCGAAAAGGACCAGCAAATCAAGTATTTCGAGCACCTACAGAAGTGTTGTATTGAGGCCGCGTTCACGTTTTACAAACTGCACAAGTCACACCTCGATACCATCAATGATAGGAGTTCAAAGCCGCTCTGTATAACTGCCAAACGCGAGGAAATTACAAGCCCCACCGACCTCAGTCTACCGCACTGGACACACCTTCTTCGGCGAATTAGCGATGCCCGAGGGTTGCAGAGGGACATGGTGTCGAGGATCGAGTCTTTTAATGGTGATATCTCACCTGTGGATGAGATACAGCATGCATTCAAGAAAGAGAAAGTAAAGTCAGACAGAGATCTTTTGGCGTTGATTCAATTGACGAGGAATTTTTGCTGGCAATTGAAGGACTGGGAGAGATGTAAGCTGTTGGACGATCTCTATGGAATAGTCGAGAAGGATATCAAAGACTTAAAGTCTATCAAGAGGAAGAGCTCACAGAGAGAAGCAAGGCCACAAAGGCCAGGGCTGTATAATCCAATGAGGTCATCACAAAACAACGACGGAATACGGAACGGCCATAGACCATCCGCAACATGGCCACGGCTTCCGCCAGGTGAAGAGGTTGAAGCGTAAGTACTGACGTGGAGCATGGTTTAAAGCGCTTGTCTTTGGGCGTTACTGGTACGGATTGTTTGCTGATTATTTATTTCTTTAATATTCACTTTTGACATGTTGCATTTTCTCCTTCTTTGTCTAATATTCCTGGTTGGATCCAGAGCAGTCTTTTCATGTTAATCCATTGTTTAAACGGAGAAGCCCTGGGGGTAGAGTTGGAGTTAATTCGATCCTACGACTGATCTTCAACAGCTGTTTGGCATAAATCTGTTTTAGACTCTAGCTCGGCATTTGCTTTGTAGTGTTGACTGTACTCGCTCGTTTCTTTCTTCCTTTGCAGGGTTCTGTACTCGATTGCTTTCAGAGGGATTCCAGTCTTCTGAGACTACCGCATTTCTTATGTCAACTAGTACTACATCATTTTATACATTAGTTAACTTCATCGATCCAGAATACACATATGTCTGTTGAGCTTTATGGAAAATACCAAGAGCTTTATAACTTATGAAATGTATAAGCAAGATCTAGATCTTCATAGCCTTCCCAATGTTTCCTTTTAGGGTGACACCGAGGTCTTTATATCCGTGCACGTGGCTAGAAATAAGCCTTGCTATAATCCAGATTGGATGTCGAGCGTTTCAGCACCCTGAGATATATTTGCCGCTCCTTGTGGGCCCATTTCGCTAAGCTTTACTGAATGTTATAAATAGAGCAAGTAATATATAATAGGAGTGAATCGAAGAGGTACGACGGAGTCAGAGAGATGTCAATGCTGGATCGATTATATTAATGAAGACGTTTGAATCTCAAGTAATATATGTTAGGGCTTGCTTGATATTGTTGGTGACGTTTCTAACTGCAGATCCCAACGCTTAAAAGTGGCTAATAACGCAAATACAATATACAATATGTGTCTTCTTAAGGTGGCCCTTCCGGTACATATAACAGCTTGGAGTACACATGTATGTACTTCCTAAGTTACATGGGCGTACTCAATATTGTTGAGAGTATAACTGATATGTTTTTCCGGTATCACGATCACCGTGTCCGTATATATGGTGGACTACATGTATATGTAGATTTTTTTGTTTTTGTTTAATTCATTGATTATGTATATGTAGATTGAGTTATAGGTTACATGTAGTATATGCACTTTGGACCAAACTGCATATAAATGTTTTGTCTAAATTTTACAGTATACATACAGACAGTAAATCTGTCCCGCTTTACTGGCGTTAGGACTTCAGTTCTGGTCAGCAATGCGCTGCCCCACTGCCCCATATCTTAGGATAACTAAGGGATATATAGAATCGGGTCACGTCAGCAAAGCAGCTGTCTCTTCACCTTCGACAGTCAGCGCCCCAGCAGCTAGTAGCTTGTCAATAACCGACGTTCATCCATTCACTATTCATGGATCATCTTTGTACCCCATGGGCCCAAAGTCCCTTGTCAGTCTTAAGCTCACGGCGAGTAACCAACTCAATTGAACTTAACTATATGCAGGGAACTATATGGTGAGACATTCACCAGGCGGGCCCGTTTCATGGATCATGGCCGACCATTTGATCGATTGGTCGATAGACCGGAACTTATATTGCCTAGCCAGCTATATGTAACAGGTTGTAAAACTTCCCCCCATACATCAATTGAAGAATGCGGCTGCCTTCTATCTTTTCTCTTCTTATATACTCTGGTCCTCTATCAGCGCCGTAGCTAAGCTGCCTATCTAAGGTAATGTTTACAGTCTAGATTAGGGCAATTCTCATTGAAGCTAACCCATTACACCTTGCGATGCAGTATCCAACAACCTGCGCACAAAATTAGGGGAAAAGAGCAAAATTGATTCATCGATATGAATATCCTTTTTTACACCAAAACGTGCACTTACAACCCCCTCCCCCCCGCAGGCAGTGCTTACCTGCATACCAACGGCCAGCCCGCAATTGTATCAATCAGTACTACCCACCTCTTCGTGTGACTGACCCGCGTATATATAGTGTGCTGCCTTATTTGAGGTGTTCGTTCTTGGAAAATTAAAGTTTAACTGTAGGAACGATATAACTATATCAATATATACTACAGCAGCAGCAATCGGTACGTAACCCAGTACCTATCACGCGATAACAGGAGGTTGTGGCATAAACAACCCAATGTTTTTCTTTACTATTCTGTACTAACCAGCCGGAAGCTATCTACAGGAATGTCCGAAGAGCACACATCTCACGCCGACCTCCATTCAGAAAACGGAATCACTGAAAACAACGGCGATATGGAGAAAAACAATTTCCGGGAAAACCAAAACACGACGAAAGTTCCGCAAAGATTAAACTCGATGCCTGAAACTATGAGAAGATATCTTGGGCAAACACCAAACGAAGAGGGTGTAGTGGTATATTCGAGGTCCTATGCACGCGAATGATTAGGCATATGGTATGTTTTTCAAAACCACATATATACAGGCTGCACACTGTTAAACAGCTTGGGCAAATGGATTAAGGCGCTAACCAATGAAGCATAGGTAGCTGAGTTGTTCTTATATAGATATATATCGATATCTAGATGAAAAATATTTGGTTCGCGCGCGTGGTTACTCTTAGTTCTGGTTTTGTTTCTTTACTTATATCTGCATATTTTAATCTACAAGTGTATTTGTGTTATACTACGCACATGTGTATGCATGTGTTTTTTTCTTGTTTTTTTCTTTCTATACTACGACATGTCGCTACCTCTATACGGCACTGAATGTATACTCCTACTATAAGAATACGTCAATGTGAGCTTAAACCTGCTTCAATTCACGATCTATGATTCTACATGCAAAGTCAAATCTTCAATAGACCCGGCCGGCTGAATCTTTAAGCTTTTTGGCATGTGTGCGTACGTATTCACAAACAAAATTTCTCTATTCTATAAGAGATAACCGGCAGTTGGAATTTGGGTGTCCAATGATGACTGCAGTGAGCAAGGTATCAAGAGCATATAAAATTGCAGTTTATGATGATATCCTGAGGCGGGTGGGGGGTTCAAACATATCCCTCAATAATATTTCTCGACAGCTTTAGACGCTGGCTCAGGTTCAATGGTCGTACAGCATCATGCTCCTTTCCACGTGGTTGACAGGGTTCAAGGTTGAGAGAGTTGCTCACGTTGCTGCCACGTTTTGGGTCTTTTCTAGAACATGTGGGATTGGGTAAGGCGCTATGCGCTACGCACTGATCTGAGCCGTTCAGAAGTTAGGGACTAGTTCTACCTAACAGGACGGTACGTGCTTCTCTTTCCCAGTTAAACCTCAAATGTACCGAAAAATTAAATCCCCTTTGAATGGACTCGGAATCTATTTCACTCCTAGACAAGGCTCGCCTCTCTCTATCTCCACGCTCGAGATAGAGCGATACGGGCCTCATCTTCTCCCCATTAACCGGGAATTACGTTCGATTTTTATGTCAGCCTAGAGTACAAACAAGGTCATAGGCGTGTGCCCCGCATTCTTACTCCAGGTTTTCCCGGGGTTGAAATATCCAGAAAGGCAATATATCGAACCCGGGCTGTGCATGCAGTACTGCTTACCAACTAGAGTTAAATCCAGGTACTTCAATATACCACACAAAATTGCTCGCCATTCGGTTCGACCACCCACTAACCACCGGTAAACAAATAGGCTACCATGTTCACGGCGAACCTCTCAATCAGTCGTTGTGCATACTCATGTGTCCCTTCAGAAAGTTTTTCAAGCGTCCGAGATGAAGGTTACTAAAATATTAGCCTCTCAGGTCCAAGCCCCTTTTGCGCGTTACGCAGAACACGGCTGGATGATCCTTCCAAAAACGTGGAAAGATCCCTGAGATTAAGCACGCACATCAGAGAGGTTTGGGGAATGTCAACAGAAACATGTCCGTGAACTGTGGTTCAAAACCGGTTCATGCAGAGAAAGCCACATGGCTGTGTGAAACCATGCAAGTCAGCGCGGCATCTCAGACATGGAAACATCGAATAACTAGGATTCAGGTATCTCGAATTTGCCTATACTATACACATATTATTTCGAGTATTTCCAACTAACTCTAGGCGTAATAGTTTGTTAAACAGAGCTAAATGTACAGACCTGACGTTGGATACCTTTACCACTATTGTTTATGGTATAAATCGCAAGATACGATTAGATCATGGACGCTAAATTTCCGGAATTACTGGCGTCCCATACAGGGTTAAGATTTGAGAATGAATGTATAGGGTAAATTTAGATTTACTCCCTCTCGCAGCTAGCTGTTTCAAGTCCTTACTCTTCTTGAGTAACTCGGTACTCTAGCTTACGCAGTGCTAGAACCAGCCAATTAGGCGTGCCAAAAGCGCAATCGATGGGTTAAAAACAAGGCGCGCCAAGATGGTAGACTGGATCGAGTGATATTTCATGACTACATAAATACATCGAACGATCAACGCTTTTGATCGAGATTAATTTTGGAGCTATTTAGATAGTACATAAGATTATAGACACAAAAAAAGGCTGAGAAATTTCTTAGCGTAGCCTTCTTTTCTCTCCTGGTCGTGGTGAAAACCCTATTTAGGCTACTTTCCTATCATTCTTCGACACATCTTCTTTTCTGTTGGAGAGTGAAGCTAAGAACCCTGTACGAGGCGTATAACTTCAGGATCTAACTATATGATATGAGTTAGATTCCATGATAAAATTTTACATGTTGATAACCTACAAGGTTATATCCGTAGTGATGCAATGCAGGGGAACCGAAGCTTCCGTAGACAATCACGTGCAGGATCAAGGCGACTTCTGTATACGAATAACAAGTGGGTGGGTATATAAAACATGATGCATCTGCCAACTGTAGCTACTGATTGATACAGCCTCGCGGTACTTCAATACTAAATTGTTGACATGGATAGCATTGGGGAGAACGCTAGGGTTGTACTCAGCGAGAAATATCATCTGGGCTCACAGACGCCGTTCCCGCTGACTGCTTCATTGGGCACTTGGTAGTTCATTGACCCTAGATCTCTCCTCAAGGGTGCAAGAATCCTTTGGTCTATGCGAACTACATGTAGCCAGCCTACCAACCTCATAATCGCGATGATCACTCTTCGAGGAGTATCAAGAGACTCCATATGATAAATGTGGGGATAATTAGCCCTACATATGCTCTCACCCCAGATAGCCATGTGGCATTCCAACGGAAACCAAACCTTCTGATTCACTTTAATTTACCGATTCTAGAAGACAAGGCTACGCGGTCCTAGCGTACTAAGACATGTAAGTACTCTAAGAACTAGAAACCTCTCTGTGCGTTGAGCGGTTATCCTCCGGTGGTATCCGTCCTTCTTACCAGGGAAAGGGATAAGAGATCTAGGGTTTGAATTAAGACAAGGTGCCCGATGAGGCGCTGCTGGTGCGGCACGACCACCCCTGACTTGTCAAGTAGATCTACGGCACTTGATTCATCAGAAGGGAAAAGGACGTCAAAAACGCGAAACCTTTATTATATCTATTGATGCCGTCGATGAATAGTTTCTAAGGATGTAGGGTAGTGGGTTTTTTTTAAGCCCCCATGCAAGACGCAAGAGAGGAAGTCTTCAAATCTCTTATTCTGGAGTGGACGCCTTGCACAGTACTGCACTACCTAGATACTCGGTCCCTAATCGATTTCATGGCTCCGAGTAGAGGACATGCAGTGCTGCAGAATAACCTTGTACCTCACGCTGCTGGAAGAGCGGACAGGTCAAGGTATGCCAGTGTAGAGACGTAATTAAAGTATCAATGCATCGGGGGTGTTTTGGGGAATGCGGTAAGAAAGACATGTGTCTACAAAACAACTATTCTCAAGTAAGGCTCCGTGAGCTCTCGCCGACGCTAACTACCATGGGGAATCCTGTATCATTATTCTGCGCGTATGCACGCCCTGCGGCGCTTCATTGGAATGTGGAACAGGTGGGTTTTGAGATTCTTATTGTGACTTACTTTTCTTCTGTTGAATATTCGAAATTGACAGCGTAATTGAACCACCAAGTCCCTATTTATGATGAAATCATCATTCTTATATTGCACTCACAAAAGAATCATGTAGCCTAGATTATTAGGGTACCCGATTAGGATATCTTTCTACTATGGCTAGTTGGGAAGCAGCAGTGCAACTCAATTGCTGAGCCGATGACTGATAGGAGTGCAAGAATCGAAGCGGAGAGCCTCCGTAACGATGTCTTGTTATTGATTGCAATAGGTTTATTGGATGTATGTCAAAGCTTGCACGTTCAACGGAACGGAGAGCCTCCGGAGCTGGCCGCTGACTCTTAATGGTGCATTAACCGTGGTACAGACAATAGTAAAATTTAAAATCCAGGTATACGTACCTACATACATACATGTATCTACATACTTCATTCAAGCCCTATAAGAAATCACCTGTCAATGTCCAGTACATACTGGGTTTAACATCTACATTGAGTTTGTACCTACCCTACGTCTCTAAGTACTTAGACAGTGGATTAGATTGCACGTAGTTTCCCCCGTCTAGACGAGTGAGCCTCGGGGCCATTTAGAATCTAACTGCCCCGGAAATGCAGATGAATAAGGCAAGATGGATGGAGGAACAGAGCCTTGTGGGGAGCTCTTCTATTCGTTATGTAACTCAGTGATCAGATATATGTGGTTAGAATCTACTCTACATACTCAAGTCAGTTATGTCTCACTGAGTTATCCTACTCATTATTATACAGTCTAGGCGGGTTCAGATCCCTCTGAAATCCCTCCGGCCGCTACAGAATACCTGCTGTCTAAGCACACTTCTTCTGAATCTAGTGCAATTTGTATCTCGTGCTTATGTATGTAGGTACTTCGAACAAGCAACGTCCTCACCCGGCGTTTCGACGATTTTCAAAAGATTAGAAGATAGACTTAATTTCCCAACGTCCTCCAATTGCCAAGAAGTATGATAACTCTGCTTCCGGGGGGAGCCCAGGGGGGTTCGTTCAGCTAGCCAAGGTTCATTCAATGATCATGCAATCTAGAATAGATATTATATGTAATATTTATCAATGTATCGTTTGGTTTTGAGGCCTTCCAGAAGACAAAGCTTATTTTTGGATGACAGAATCGTCGTAAGCGTTCGAACAGGCGCTGGGGACAGGCGAACATCCATTCGCGTAAATAAGGTTCTTAATATGTACATGTAGTCATTCAATCGTGTGGTAATCTTTCGCTACCCCAGATGGTGGCAAGTCCAGCAATTAATGGACAGAGTAGTGAGGGAAGGGGAGGGGAACGAGCCTATGGATATTGTGGAGGTGCATGTGTGATATCAGCAGCAGTAGTGCAGAGACGCAGAGTATGGGCTGGGTTGGAGTTGTTGATCTGACTGGTTTTGTGGAGTGTGTAAAACCTACTCTACACGGTACGTGATCACCAGAATTAAGACGCTCACGACGGGTAATTCATCCTTGAGGCTTAAAATCATAGAGTAATGCAAGCAGAGTACCACACCGTACTCTACCTACATCTAAGTCGGATGCAATTAGCCGGTGAGCTACGCAGCGCAGTGCCTGCGCTGTCTAGCTAACAACACGAAGACGTTGGAATAGGCTTCAACCTCAAGGCTGATATTGTCCGTCTGTTCACGGGTCTCTGTACGATCCATACAGCGTATAACTGTACTTTGTTAATGTACTTTGTTAATATGATGGCTTTTTTGATTATGATGAACAATCTCTAAACAGGTTCTCCTAGCCGGTAGGGACGATGACGGATGAGGCTGTTTTGATACCTCTCCATTGTATGCCCGTTTGAGGGTGTTCAAACAGAAAGTCACATCTAGTTTGGGGCTGAGAAATGGTTCATGAACGGGCAAATACCAGTGGTCCGATCGGATCTGAAGCAGCTTCACTCAGTTTGGGTCTCATGAACTCATCTGGTCGAAAGGCGCTAGCAAGGACAGAGGGTGTACGGACATGATCTGGGTCACAATTCATGGAAAGATGACTACTGTAGGTAGGTGCAGCCATATTCTCAGCCTCCTCTTCTCAACTTCGTTTTTGCAATTTGAGCCAGGTCATCGTTCACCACCACAGGAACGTAACAGCAACAGCAGCACAGCCCCCGCTCACAACTTAGCTACTTGTACTTACTGCATCAAAGTGGATCCATAAAGCAGTGAAACAGCATAGCAACTAAAGGGATACATAATTATGGGTGCCAGGTTGTAAAACTCAGACGTATGTAAGTATGGAGAGTGCATACAGAAAAGAAGAAAAAGCATCAATTGCTGATACAATGGTATTTTCTGGCTGATGGTGTAGAGGGGATCAACGACCGGAGTTCAATCGACTTGCTAAACTAAACATTATGGTTTTATTTCATCTGAGTACCTACACCTAGATAGGCACTATCGTCAGTTTATCAGGTATCAGCTCGAGCGATTGTGTTGCTACAACTGATTTTGATGCCCAGGCCTCGGAAGGCGAAACGTTGCTGTGAAATGAAACTCAGTGCTGAAAGATGAGGCCGTTCCATCATCCATCTGCGTATGTACACGGTATAATGCTATTGTGGGCGCATACATAAATTCACAAATGGGCCACAGAGCCACAAAAGATGATTGGTTCAATTGCGATTCGGAATCCATGTCGCACTCATATGAAGGTCCAAAAAAGTCTGACCTAATTGAACCAAGGTAGGCTGATGTACCACCAGCAGCGAAAAGGAGCAGACAGAAGCTTATCGTCCCCCTCTAGCTCCTCCATCCCTAACTAAGAGAAATCCTGCGCATGTTTATGGTTATGAAAACCATAAAGCTATTCAAGTCTGCCCGGGACCTGCTCTCTGCAGCAACATTTCGACTTCGACTCTAGCAAAATAATCAACTTCGCACTGCGCTCCTGGTGCGAATTCGCACATTACGCACCGTTGGCGCATACCCTATAAGTTATCGACGTCCGGCCCTCCATTTTTTACTTGAACTCGGCTTGAAAGTCGATACGATAGTCAACTACGACCCTGTAGCTACGTCTTATCCCACGACTGTATCTGTGTTGCTTTTCATACGGGCTTATTTGGTTGCCCGTTTTACCATACTCCGACGTTTTGCGCAGCTATTATCCACTTTTGTTCTGGGAGGCATCTTTTGTCAAAATAAGACCTTATACCCTTTTGTTCGCTCAGTACGCGATCGCAAGCGCTGGTATTTACTTTTGTAAGTGCTAGCTCTCTAAATATACCCGCCTATCCGAGTACCAGTGCTAGTAATATTGCCGCTATGATGCTAATACAAATATCTGTAATAGTATAAACGATCGAGATTGACACAAAGAGCAATCCATCATGGCGAGCGAAAGTTGTACCGCTTCCCGACTACAAACATTGCCGGAGTCATTGCAGCAGCACGCCGATTTCATCAAACCCCTAATGAAGCCTCTAATCGCAAACCTAAGCACCACATTCAATTTCGACGACCAGAATATCGAAAGTGTACCTTTTGTCGATCGGTACTTTCTACCGTCCGAAGCTCGCGCATCATTAGTGCAAGAGATCTCAAAGTGTATCGAGAACTACCTCAACTATAACACGTATGACGACTTTAATCCAGGCTACTCGGTGATGGGCCGATTCGTAAACGAAGATCCGAGGGATGGGCCCTGGGCACCTGGGCTAACTCAAAAGGATAACCACGGGGATGATATGGGAGCTTCAACCTCTAAGAATCTCATCCAACAGGCCGCTAAAGTCGTAGGCGCGGAGGGATTTGGTTGGGGAGCAGACCTGGGTATGCGCGTGTCAGAGAGATCAAGGGAGCAGAATGGCGATGCTTTTCTGGAGCAGAGAATGGAGTCTACACACAGGATTATCACGCAAGGAGGAACGGCGTTCTTGGACCCAAGGAGAGGGCTCGTTTCAAAGGCTATGTCGACTACTGGGGTAACGGACCAACATATACATGCAAATACTATCAAGCCGCGTGGATGTTCGAGTTATATTGATGGCTCTACAAAACCGCGACAAAGTAAACGTCGTGCATCTCCCGGAAATAATGGCAAAGGACTGTCTACAACAGGAGCAGGTACTCTGAATCGGGTGCATAGTACGAGCGCAGGTAGCGTAAAATCGGCTCGTCGGGAAGCTAAAAAGCAGCATAAATGCCCCGACTGCGACGAAGTATTTCCATTTGAGGCGCGGCTAAAGTAAGTACTACCTGCCTGCTTTATTGTTTGTTCGATCTTTTTATCTGATGTTAATACATTCCTTAGGAGTCATCAAGCCGTTCATAGCAAGACTAAATGCAAATGTCATGTTTGTGATTCGCTTTTTGGGCGAGACAGCTCCCTCAAAAGACATCTCAACACTCCTGGCGCCTGCGAAAAGAAAAAGATTACAAAGTTACGGAATCAATCATTTCAGAACTCTCCTACGGCGCCGAGAGCTGGCAGTCAGCATAACTACAACAACAACTACGAACTGGATGCTACAGCTTCAACCTCTAGTCTTGTTGATGGCAACTCAGTTAATAGCTCGCCGCTAGATACCCGGCAACCTACTCAAAATTTCGGCCAGCATCCAAATTATTCTTTAGGTTATATATCACAGAGCCCAAATTCCCATTCCGCAAATTATGGATCCGCGTACCAAAATTTAAGCCCTCAAAGACCGGAGGGATGGTCATTAGATCCTTTAGCCTACTGGGACTGCAATACTTTTTCATTTTCCTAGTTCGACTGAGGCTTGATAATTGTACCATCCGCCGGTCGCGTTATGGTACGCCGCCTGGTTCTCCCACATCAACCAATTACCGACACATCAATGCAATCTAATGTTCAAACTTTTCATGTGGGAAATCTGCCGGTGGTCGGTACTCAAAAATCGAAAAACAAGTCAGCATTCTATTGAGCCCTACCTTCTAGATTTCTCGCCACACTGAACACTACTGCCATCCTGCCTCCGAGTCCGGCCCATAAATGATCATCATCTGAATATATGTACATATCCTTGGTAAATCACCAGGGTAGTCTCAAAACTGACCTACCACATGTGATGACGGTCTGGACCCAATTTTCATTCCCTCCTCCGCTTTCATGGCTATTGGATGAGAAATACAAACTCTGCTCTTCAAATTCTTTTTTCATTAAAACCTTACACCATTTTAATCGGTCACTTTTTATTTCGTTATTTTTTGGTATGATTGATACTCATGTCCTGAGTTTTTCTTTGTTTGTACTTGTGCTGTTGTACTTCTATGGGTTTTGGGCCTTTCCTTTTCATGTCTTCATGTTTGACAAGATTTATATCTTATGAGAAAGGCTACTTGTTTATCTACTACTAATCATCTTACGGTCTCTATTCATTTTTTTTTTCAAGGCCAGACCATATATATACCCATTCGTTTGTGTATTTGTTTCTATCTTTTCTTTTGTTCTCTGATTTTATGCATCACCCCCGACTTCCGAGAGTCTGTGAAGAACCATAATTAAATACAGATGATGTACGATTCAACGTAAGCACAGTTCCTCAAATATCTGATGATTCGAGAATCAATCGTTAACTCTAAACACACGCAGCCCTCCCTTAGCGACATCTTCAAACTACATATATATGTAGCTTCACCTAATTCGCCATAAGACTCACGTTTAGAGTGGTAACGACAAACGAATCCCTCACGGTCATCATTATAGTTATTGTCATGGGATGTACAAGAACGATATCTCGCTATAGATAGTTCAATTGCGCACCAATTTTGGCAACTCGACGATGCATTCAACTAGGCTAAAATTTTAGCGGGTGGGACGTAAAGCCTTGGTCATCAGGAAGGCTGAAAGTCTGATAGGGACAGTGAATTATGCGCGCCTGGTGTGCGTATTTGAGGAGAGGGAGCTTAGAGTAGAGAACTACGCGTAGCTGGCGAAAGAGAACTCTACTGGAAGAATATATACTCTACTCTCCACAAGGAGTGCCAACCCTAGATTTTTCCGTAAGGATTAAATATGAACGAGGCAGGTGGAAGTTCAGGCCATGGGTACTTGAACAGGTGCATATATGATATGCTGGTATAGACATACATGTATGCATGTAACGTGTTCCTTTTGATTGATCTACATGTAGGTCGGTCGCTTGTGGAGTTGGTAACATTCACAATTCACGATCGCGATGTTTTCCTATACCTATTATATGGGATTTTCTTTTTTGGGGGTATAGCTTAATTGGCTAGAAAGAAAACTAGAATTCATATCTTTTGGGCACGTTGTACCTACAGTACCTACTTGATACAGACCTTTGATTGCCTGTGTTTTAGCCCCCGCGAGGTAAGAGGCTGTTTCCCCCCATTTAAGTCCACGCGGCAACTCGCCAAAATTCAGTTGCCAAGGACGGACTAGTGCGCAGCATGGCGCGCAAGCTCGCCTAATTTCTAAATCCCAGGAGACCACTTCTCGGAACGTTCATGTGGGACATTACTAATGGAACGATTCAATAGTTCATGCACCTGTGCCTCAGTCGGGCGCTCTCGTGCCACTGGCTGGCGGTGCACACAGCATCTGATTACATACATGTGGTTGAAAGCCTCAGTCAAGACTCAAGTAGACAAATCTCCATTGAGGAGAGTATCTAGAGCACCACTCGAAGTATTCACAGTCCATACGGTCCGGAAAGGTTATGGAATGAAGAGTACATACATCGTCGATTATTCTTTTTTCCTCTTCCAAGGCGTTCTGCTCTAGACCAGAGTGTGTAGAGTATGTACCTACCCCAGCTACATACATGTAGAGTACGTAGAGTAGAGTAGCTACTCTATTCTACCTACATGTACCATGCTCACATATCAATCAATGAAAGCGCCCCTATCATGTACATATTATTTCTATTTTGACCATCACAGTTTTAAATTTTGCTAGCCCATCGATGAAGGTGGTCGCCGGCCATGTTGGTTCCAAAGATGAGATAAATGCCTGCCCAGCTTGATTTGCACCCTTTGGCTTACTGAGCCTCATATGTAATGTTTTCTGGCGCTGCTTCTTGTAGATAGATAGAGATATCTTTACGCCTCATTGTCCAATCGGTCTGAAGAAACCTTTCATATATTCGGGTATGGCTGTTCCCGACTGTATGTACCTACACTAACCTCGGTCTAGAACAGATGGGATGTAGAGTATAGTACCCACGCTTTGACTCAAATGTAAATGTGATATGTGCTCGGCGAAACTCTACACTCGCAGGAGATGGTGCGGGGGAATGGGAGGTGAGAGATTTAAAAGTGGCCCCTTTGGATCATCGTAATCATCATCACCATCATCACCATCCACTGTTCCAGTGCCTTGGGCGACATGACCCCTCGAAGTGTACCTTTCTGGGTTGTCAATTAGTGGTAACAGCGGGTGATGGCGGGAGGCCCAACGTTCTAGTTGTTCCTGTCAATTACCTACATGGATTATTATAAAAACAGATTAATATTTCTTATTCTTCAGCCCGCGGAGAAAAAAGCATCTTAGTCTTGGTCTACAGGGAAGTTGGCAACCGACATTCCCAACCCACCATATCATCCTGCAGGGTCGAGTGATGGGATTTTAATCTTTAACTTCTAATGCTAGCTAGTTTTGGTATGCGAGGGTGAGATGTTCAAACAGACTTTGCTGTATCTAGTTAGGTCCTCGGCCCGTACCGATTCTTTACCCTGAAGGAGCCAAGCAGAGGGGTAGGGGGTGTACGGGACTACTCGAAAGAATTTCGGAATACCGGGTACAGATACATGAACCAGGTGCTCACTGGTGATATATATATATAAGCTATGAATACCCACATACTATCTGCCTACCCGCTGTTAGTTCATCTCAGCTTTTGGGTACAATATTTCCCCCAGATCATTTCCCCCATATACATCAGCCATGTCAGGAGCAGCAGCAGCAGAAGAAGAAGATCAGTTTGAATCGGTTCAGGACGTGATCGAACTTGACCCTGCAGTGAGTTGAAGCCCTTTAGGTTTTATGCGCGATTTGTAGATCTAACCAACTGGTCTCTGGACAGTGTAATGATGATTCCGGTTCCGGATCTGAATATGGAACAGGATCGTGAGTGCACGAAACTTCTAATGACGGCTTATTGTACTATCTAACCTGCCTCTAGGAGCGAGTATTCCACAGATTCATTGACTTCCTCTATCTATGAGTATGACAATCCTCTACAACCGTAGCGAAAGATACAGTACTGTCGCGCGATTACAAGAGCTCAACTGTTCTTTGTTGAGACCTACGACAGAAACTTTATAGCTTACTAATTATTCGCAATTAGATATCGCTACGAAAACGGCCGCAGATATCACGCCTACAAGGAAGGCAAATATGTCTTCCCTAATGACGAAACCGAGCAAGAAAGGTATTTGATTTCGCTCTCTTTCTGGCCCTGCTGTACACATACTAACATGTGATGCTGGTATGTAGATTAGATATTCTACACCATATTTATGTGTTGCTATATAAGAACAAGCTTCACTTAGCGCCAGTAGAAGAACCTCAGAGAATCTTGGATATCGGTACTGGAACAGGTATCTGGGCAATTGATGTCGCCGAGTAAGTAGACCACCTTCTGGAGCTATTACAAGTTATTCGACTAACCCCAGGAATTGATAATAGGAAGTACCCAAACGCCGAAGTCATCGGGACAGATTTGAGTCCTATTCAGCCAAGTTGGTATGTTAGGTCTTCCCAGAAAGAAATCAACCAAATTTTGTTAATTAGATTAACAGGGTCCCTCCAAACGTTCAATTCCAAATCGATGATGCGGAGGCCGATTGGACATTTGCAAGGAATTCTTTCGACCTAATCCATATACGCCACCTGAACGGAGCAATTAAAGATTGGCCTAAGCTTATAAGAGAAGCTTACAGGTTCGCTTTCATCTCCATCATTTAGTGATAGCAGCTTGCTGATTGATATTCGTAGATGTACCAAGCCCGGCGGCTGGATCGAACTCGCAGAATACGAATTCTTCCTCCACAGTGACGATGACAGTCTTCCCAAGAGCAGCTCCATCTACAAGTACTACGATCTATGTAATCAGGCCGCCACCAAGCTAGGACGGGAATTCAAAATCGCCGCCAATCTCAAACCAATCCTTGTGGAGGCTGGATTCGAATCTGCCCACCACCAGGTCATGAAGGTTCCGTTCGGAACGTGGCCTGCGGACAAGTTGCAGAAAGAGATGGGCGCATTCTTATACATGACAGCTGATGAAGGCTTTACGGCCTTTGGTATGGCTCTGTTGACAAGAGTAATGGACATGGAGGTGGATGAAGTCAACGCATTGATTGCCCTGGCGAAAGTAGATGCGAAGAGCAGGAAGATTCATTCTTATTCTCGACAGTGAGCAATACCCTTCCCCCATGATGCGGTTTAATAAATTAACCTTTGACTAACCTTGATTAGGCATATCTACTACGCACAAAAGCCTATGTGCAGCGATGATGATGAAGACTGATACTAAGTAATTTGTATAGCTTTTCGAACGTATTACACCATATATATATGTGTGTGTCCACACGATTAAGAAGAGTAGTGGTTTTCTTTTTTTCCTTCTCCTTGAATCATCTGTGCTTGTCAATGTGTTCATTTCTTCGACATCGGGTGTAAAAAAAATGGCAATCGTGAAGATTTTCTTACTTGTAGTAATTCACGTAACGAACGGTTAACCAGGAAAGGAGGAGGGATAGCCCGATTTTATGAGTATATATATTGCACCTAATGTCAACATATATTATGGTGTTGGTTGATATGCCTTTTCAGTGGCCGTTTTTTTGTTAATGATGTCTCCTTTTATAAGCTAGTCCACAAATATTATTGCACATGCGCTTCTACTAAATATAAATGCTACTCTCATCTATATACTTTTAATCCGAAAGCAACACTGACATGTGGATGTTGGCAGCTCTCGGTATCTAATAATATGATAAGGATAGGGAACTAAATATTCTACTATATATACAGCGGAATCCCGATAGTTAGCTATAGTATATACATATATCATTTTAGACAATAACATGTCCGATTGTATAGTAGCATATTCGATATGGGCGTTCGATACTCGATAGTAGCACACATTAAGTGTCATTCTCTACGGCCATATATGTTACAGTTGAGACTCCATAAATTCAATACATTATAAACGATTATCTTATGTAGTATAATCGATATTCTGTAAGGTTGCATGCAATTAATGAATTAAACAAAAAAAAAAAACATAGTATAATCGATACAGCGCTAACAGAGTGAGTGATATTTCGTGCTTAAAGCGCGTGAGCTGATCAACCATATAATAATAGGCCTAGGATTAACCTTACGCGTACGTATCATGTACATATTATACGTATACGGAACACTTCTACAGAAAAATTAAAAAGAATTAAGAAAAATTAAAAACGAACAGCATTTATTTTCGCAACTGGAGGGCTAGCGCCGCTAGTTACGTGCCCTCCGGGATATTGATCATGGTAGTAACGAACTAACGGAAGTTCTCAGGGCGACTAAGTATCAATGAAAGGAAAGCATACTTTTTTTTTTAGAGGGCCCCCTCAAAATAAACAGTTGAGTATAGGCGTTGGGTGGATGAATATAATATCAGTCCAATTGAAGGCTAACGGGTAGGTGGGTTCCTTGTCTGTACTGTTCACCGCTAAAAGTCTTTGACACCCTATGGGTTTGCTGAACAGGGCAATCCGTTCAAACTTCGTATGGTACAGTGTCGGAAATGAGGGTAAAATTGCTACCGTGGGGCTACGGTATTGAGTCAAGAATACTCGTTTAAACCAGTTTCGTAAGTAGAATACCATATCGATACCGTATCAATACAGCATCACTAGCGTATTGGCTGGAATACGGTAGTGAATTTCTACCCCTTTCTGGTATTGTATTTCTCATGAGCAGATCAAAACATTGAAAACTCACTGAACCGGGCCCCCAGTTCGTGAACTGAGGAATTTCGCGATATATATCGGGCAGAATATATATATATGGCCACTAGTGCTCTGGCGACATGGTGAGGAATTGAACAAATGTCCAATTGACAGAGTCAAACTACATGTACCCAGCTCGTCCCATTAGCACTAGGCCACACAACACCACGGCACATGTAAGATTTATTTTTGGTAGCTTTGTTAGTTAGTATGGCTTGGCAATACTCTATGGGAAATGATCGATATGTTTGGCACGCTACATGTAGTTAACGTTTATAGGCACACCTAACCCACTACGTACTCTCTTGACCAATAATTTGGTCGGTGCGCACAAACGCGCATACATGATATAAAACTTAATTGAACCTGACTGCAGATTATTATGTATAAGTACATATATGTGCTTCCTGTACTCTTATGTAACGAAGATTACTTGTTCTTGGAGGTATACGTGTATGCGGAGCTAAGAAACATGGTGCATCTATCTTGGGTAATATAATTAGGTGCTTGGGTGATTCACCAAATACGTGTCATGTCTGCTCGTGTTTTGCAAGGCCGGCGAGGCCTTATGAAATTATCCGGGAAGATTGATCAAGCGTGATCCGGTTACTTCATGAATTATTAACCAATCAATCAATCAATTGTAATCCGGTACACCACCTTCCCCCTCATTGTTGCTTTTACCTGACCACGACAGTTACAGGTATGATGTATCCATGATGTATGTAGGTACTTCTGGATTACAATTACAGTATAGTATAGGTTCTAGAGGCAAGCGTACCGAAACGAAAGTATTTATGTAGCTAAAACACGAATGGGCTAGGGTTGTAGCATCCTTTTTTACAAAGTATTAAGGGTAAGTGTAAAGAAATTATGTTTTTAGCGGTCTGAACCCAAGGAAGTGCACAGCACCACTAATGAGTCCTCGTAAAGACCCAGCCCATTTACCGCCCTCTTTCTCGCTTTGGTGCCGGCGCCCTCCTCCTCTGTACTGGCCTAGGCTCAGAAGGCTCTGCATCATCCTCAGAATCCCGATTTTCATCTGCCTTTCTTTTCCCCGTAACCGTTGACCCCGTAACCGTTGACTCCGTAACCGGGGCCGCCGGAGCAGCTGGAATAGTCGGAGTTGTTGTTTTCTGCCCGCCTTCCAGCCCTAATGCTGCATCGAGCGCATCCACCCCACTTAGACCAGTGGCCCCCGCCGGGCCGGGGGTGCTGCGAAATTCAGCGCCCTCTTTTCCCAGGACAAATCCCACCTTCTCAACTTCGCCTGCAGTAACATCGCCCCCGAGTCTTTCCACGAGTGCCTTAACTCCTTCCACGTAGGTCCTGTATTCCTTTGCGTCATATTTGATCTTCTTACCCCAACCCTCGCGACCAGGAGAGTGCAAAATCCAGCGGTACGCTTCATCTGAGAACGGCGGTACGGTATCTGGAGCCATAATGGCTAGGATGTAGGAAGCTGTAGCGGGCCCGACTCCTTTGAGGGGATCAGTGAGCTCCTTTAACGAGGCGATGATATGCGCGGTAGTGGGCGGGGACGGTACGCCGAGGAGGTGATCGAATGCTGCAGTGGTTGCTGCGGTCACAGTGGAGGGATCGTTACTAGAGATGAGTTTTGGGAGGGCTTGACGACGTTTCCCACGTGCCCTATGGGTTCTTCTTAGCCTTTGTATCGAGAAGATGTAGGTGAGGAGCTGTGGGGGAACAAACATTTTACAACCAAGTAGCTTCTGGAGTTCCTCTTTCATCAAACAGGGTTTACTTCTGGCCTTGACAACCTCGGGAAGTGTGTTGAGTCTCCAAAGGTCGAGCTCCTCAGAGCTCAGTTCTGACGATTCGTCTGGTTTGGCCAGTTTTGGCGCAGAATTCGTCTCTGAGAGAGCGCTCATGGTAGCGGGATACCGAGAAAGCACTTGGGCGAATTCATAAAGAGTGATATGGCTCGGGACGGGGGTGGTCGCCATCGTTTCTGTAATATCTGCGTGTGTATGGAGGTTGGCAGCTTGCAATTGAGTGAGGTTGTAAGGAGCGCGTAGCATACGGACATTTTCGAGGAGACGCGTTAATGACGTAGGCTTGGCGCTGGTGCGCGGTGATTGATCGAGTGTATGTGCTAGTAAGTGTAAGGGGTGGAATACATGCCCGTGGTAATATATTATAATTCCGATAAGCTAGATGCTGGTTAATCGATAACGTACCTAGAACCTGGAGTCGAGCTCTGCTACGCTGGGCGATTGCATTGAAGGGTTCACCACTACATATGTCTTGTCACGCAGGGTTGGTTACATCTATTCAGAGCACTATAGATCTCCCCTGGAATTTGCTCATTACGAGATATACATGGATATATACGTATGCAAGCACATCCTAGTACTCTGATTGATACATCGGATTTAACAATCACCCCGGAAATGCCCATTTTCAAGTGTGAATATATATATGAACGCGGGTTGGGTTATTGGTTCAAACCTAACAAACCCAAACCCAATCAATCCACCTAAAAGCTTCCCTAGCTACTAGAGCATGATCTAAAGGGTATATTATATCTTTCAGAAGCTCCTTTAGCCAGTAGGAGGCTCCACATCAAATTGGCCGTTGAAACTTAACGTTTTGAGATACTAGATATAAAGATTAAGCGAATGCCCTTAAATCTTTTGTTCTGACAGCACCATTGCGAATTTTGGTCATTGGCCCTTGATATAGTCTTTCCCGTAAGCGATAGAACTTGCTCTATTGCCGAATAGACCGCCTTTTGAGATTCTGTCGAATAGAACGGCCGGGGGGGCTATTTGTTTGTTATATATAGACCCCCCCTCTCGGAGGTGGGGGTCTATTCAATAGATACACTTCTACTGCTTCACGATGCCCTATTTGTATTAGGGACTGATTAGATCTTTACAAATTTATAGAAATCAGATCTTTAGGAATCCTAGCAATCACCTTATGCTTACGGGAACCCGGTTTATTCGAAAACCATCCTCTAGCTCTACTGCTTACGGGAATGTGTCCATTCACACTTGTTTCCCATAAGTCAGGTTTTCTCAGACCCGAGTTCATATTAGACCCTTTGCGCTGGATGCATCCAGCTTCCTTGTCTCTTAGCGTTATATGGATTTTCGTTGATTTTCGAAGATAAGAAATAGAGCCAGATGTTGCTTGCCACCGATCAGCATTATCCACCTTTTGGTGAGAGAGGAAATTCAACCTCAAAGTAAATAATTTTCTTCTACCACCAACACCTTAGCTAAATCATTGAGAATTTGATAAAAGGTGTAGTTACATCTGAATTTTATCATGAAAGAATCCTCTTAAAAAAAGGTCATCATTTGGTCATTCTACAAAGAATAGAAGGAGTGGAAGTCTAATTAGGCGATTTACCAACTCTCTGGGAGTCAAATGCAAGGCTGGATCTATAATTCCTTGGCTAATTAATGCTAAGTCTGTCAAAAAAGACTCCGGATCCATTAGCGCAAAGGGTCTATTTACCATAGGGATAATTACTGCCGCTCACGGGGGATGGCGGACAGGGCAGAAAAGAGACAGCAAAGCCAATTTTTACCTGCACTTCGTCAATACCCAGTATCCACCAATACCCCGTGAACGACAATACTTTACTTACCGGATATCTAAGAGTGCTATTGCCTTCTGGGCAAAATCCACGTTTTGGCAAATGTGATCGACATTTATATATTACCATGTAATTATGAGTCACTTTATATGGCAGGACTCACCAACGTGACTACTAATGGCCTAAATAGTGCCTTTATTGGAATTGTCACGCACTATACCGGGTGCTTGGATTGAAAAAGGTGTTGTTATAATTATGTGCTTTATCACAATTACCACTCGATCGAAGTCTCAATTTTTGCGATTTCTCGAGCCAAACCCCCGCTATGTGCAGATTTTTTATTTGTGTGATTTAACCACCGGTATCCATTCAGTGATTGAAAAAAAAATGAAGAAAAAAGAAAAGAAAGAAAGAAAGAAATGGTTTTGGAAAAAGGCTTACGTATGCATGTGGATAACTGGGCGTGATGAAAAGAAGGAGGGGAAAAAAATGTTTACGTGCCCAATGACTTTACATTTAGTTCTACAGGCTATCGTTAAACACATTAATTATTTGATTCATATGATCATAGTGGTGGCAATATTACAACGCTTGAAGTCCACGACGTGGCCGACATGTACCTACATGTATGGCGCCGTTAGCCTAGGCACTAGCACCGTTGTGATAGCATCTTCCAATTCCTTAAAACGCAGAAGTTTACCTACCCCCTATCATATAATACTGCTAGTTAATGGGGTTACAATGTTGGTTATGAATTCATGAACGAAGCCGTAAACTTGACAAGCTTTTTTTTCCAAATTGGAAAGCCAACCCGCAATTTCTTGCAAGCAACTACATGTACTCTTCGATCCTAGGCGAAGTACCCGAGCATCTATCGGCTGCTTATCCTTATTTTTTGGCATTTCCGAACTGAACTGGGCGTGCATTGAACGAGAATCGTGCATGATTTGATGGTATGCAGACCCAGTCCAGTCCGGAAACACCAACAAATACTAGTATTTCACTGACGTTTTTTAACTGGGCCATTATTGCATACACCCAAAATCATGAGCTTGGCGTATTTTTGTATGGCATGCAATATCAGTCGCGTCCACAAACGTCAGAGAAATACGAGTAATGAGTATGGCACATACATGTAGTTTACTGGGGCAGGCAATAAGAGCTTGAAAATGCAAGCTGCAAGCAGGGGTTCAATTTGGTGTAGCGTTTCGCCAGCCGCGAATCAGAGGTCGTTACCATCAAAAGTCATTTTCAGGTTCTTCTTACCTGCCCGGAGTACATATGTACATGTATCTACAAATCAAATCAGTAATCAATCCCAATTCTCTCTGGAATCACTAACCCGCATTTCAATCTTCGGTTAAGTCTTTTTGGGATGCGCGCGCGGGACCGCTGCCGGTTCCATATGAGCCCGTCAATGAGAGCATTTCGTTGCCTGGAACGTCGCAGAAAAACTTGATCATGAGCAGTTGCGCATTATGATGGCGGTAAATCGGGGAAGATTGGGTATCATCACTTATGTAGTTGGAATTAAAATCAAGAAAAAAATATGACTGAGCGCGAACGAGATCCCTTAAACTGTTGGAATTTTCACTGCTTTTCAGCACTGGCGATCGCCCCAAGCAGGAAACCAGGACCCCCGGAAGAGGTTGATACAGGTCACAACGCTTCACGGCTAGATCTAGAGAGGTGCTAGTGATACCCAGAGCAGCATTAGCAACAAATGAAATCTTGATGTAGTAATACTACTGCCCACTATGGCTAACCACCCGTACCTTGAACACAGAGGGGATGGGGTGGGTAAGCCTTTTGACTTGGTTTGGTGGGTAACCTTGTGCCTGTGGTAAGTAATTATATGCTTAATACCAGTACAAGTACCGGGTTGAAGTTGTAGGAGCTCAAGCGACGGCATTAACGTCTACGGAAGGGGGAGGAAAAAAAAAGAGAGAACAAATAGCAATATATAAGACATGCAATACATAAGACATGCAGCACATAAGAAAACAATATATTCTACCTATACGTGTGAAGAATTAAACAAATGCATTAATTGGCTGCAAGATCGCGCGGCTTGGAAACGAAGCTCTAAATGTTGTGATAGGTCATTGACTGAATGCCACCAAGAACACTTTGGGGTCTCCTATCCGTTGCTCACTGAGGATTAATTTATGACATGTGCCTTAATACGAACGATTAGAAGGTTAAGGGAGGGGGGGAAACACTTGGGTTTTATGATCAAGAATCTAGCTAGTTAGGTTGGAATATTGAGAAATCGCTCATTATATTGATCAGCCAGCGTCTCATAGATCGAAACGTATGCAGAAGATAAAGAGGCCTTGAACTACCTGAATATGGGCGAAAACTACATGTCTTGTTCTATTTGTTTAGTATGCGGTATGGTGGTGAAGTTCGTAATACATAGGTTTTTGAGGCTCTTTGCTACATGTACCCCGATCGATCCGTGTGGGACAGGTTGAATGCCTAGAAAGGTTAGCCGATCCTGCAAGACATTTATCCGTTTTGATAGTACTAGTGTAACATAAAGTAGATCATGAAGCTGAGGAAAGGAGCTTGACGAGGGCGGGGGTACTGATCATTTATAGACATTCGTTTCTTTTATTTTTATTTTCCGACTGTTAGTCATGTATCCCTAATTAATTATATTGCGTGTATATACTGGCGTTATACGATTATATAGACGTGTGCCATCGTATGCGCTGTGTTTTAGGTTACTTTTGTCTCTGCGTACGTTGATCAAGCACGTACATGTTCTTTGGTGTAGTTTGCGGATAACCCTTGCCCAATACATCATGACACAAATCTTCGACAAGCCCGCCCCCATCCCACTTCATTCACTCTCACGGCCCCGCGTCTTACTCAATAGTTTCGGTGGAAAGAAAGAAAGAACAGAGCTACAGTATGGTTTAAGTATAGAATACTGAACCAACCGGGTTAGCCTTTCGCGAACGTACGACAGATACTAATATCGCTAGCCGTGTGGGTCACCACGTATCCTATATATATGTAAGTATTCATTAAAGAAAATCAATTTCCCCAGTGCCTCTAGGACCAAGCTTTTCCCTACTTGAGTTGAGCCTCCCCCCACCCTGCCCAGTTTACCCCCCCCCCCCCCTCTCACGCCTCGTCATGAGTTGACTGAATCTAGGTTTACCAGAATGGCACAACGGGACGAGAACGAATATCTCTGGTTGAGCAAAGAAGTTATCGCAGCTATAGAAAAAGAATTGAACCCTGGAGGTCTTGCGTTTCACCCACCACTTTCGTGGTCTTGCGAAAAGCTCGACTGTGCTCTCAAGGCAGCTTATAGAGATAAGTTTCCTCAGGCGGCACACGAACCACAGTATAAGGGACGCGCCCTGGAAATTGCGACAGTAGAGCTCAACAAAATCTTGGAGGAGAGAATCGAGAGAATGAAGAGGTCCATGGGCAACACTCCAATAGTCAGTTGGAAGGAGGCCAGGCCCTTCGACGAGCCTTTTAATCCCACGCTCGCCGGCAGCAATATGAATGTTGGACGTTCACCACCAGCACAGTACAAGAAACATAATAGCCCACCTGCGACAACGCTGCCTACATTGCCCTCGCAATCGCAATACACAGCAGCAAGCTCAAGCACTAGTGTTAGCACCGGCCGAGGTACGGGAACTACATTGAATGGCAATAATGGTGGGCCCATCCTTCATCAGAGGAATACAAACAGCCCAGGCCCGTCGCCCGGAAGAGGGGCAGTTTCGATTAATGGGAACTTTCGTTCGCGTAGAGGCCGCGGCTCCCATCGCTCAGGTCAGCCCCGCGCCGGCGCCCATATTTGCCCCTTTGAAGGATGTGGGAAAAGCTTCCAGTACCCTTCGAAGTTGAAGTGAGTACATGACTCTGGCTAGTAGAATACGATGGCTGTGAAATGGAAGTATGCGTTCTAACGGCAATATTTCAACCATAGAGACCATGAACACACACATTTACCCGCAAAGGACTTTGCCTGTAGGCTTGGATCATGTACAAAAAGCTTCAAGAGAATGCGCGAACTCAAGGCGCACGAGAAGATCATTCATCCAGGCCATCCATCAGAACCAGAGTCGGAGTCTAGGGATCAGGAGATGCTTGATGTTGGGGAGGCAGAGCTTGTGGAAGATCAGAAGAAATTGTCAGGGCGCCGAGATGAGGATAATAAGGTTGAGATCGAGGACGAATCCAAGAGGGATTCGCCTTCTCTACAGCTACGTCAGCCCTCTAATAAGATCTCCGAAGCCGAAGTTGCGAGCCCAACATCTTCATCTCCCACGCCCAATGCTCGTGGAACAGCTACCCCGGGGCCTGAACGGCTTCCCTCCTCGGGGCCTGAACGGCTTCCCTCTTTGGGGCCTGAACGGCTTCCATCCCCGGGACCTGAACGGCTTCCCGCTCGGGGGCCCGAACGGCTTCACTCCCCGGAGCCTGAGAAACGTCCTTCCCAACCTCCAGTCCGTCCTCCACCTCCCGATCCTCCGACCGATTCTAACCCGACACTGCCTGTGATGCTTCTTAGGCCTGGTGATAGGGATCATGACAGGGAAAAGAGCCTATCACCACCACTACCACCACCAGAGGAGAGGTAAGTCCACACATTCCTGATCTACTCAATTCTAACATTGGGTCTGATGTATTTTGTCGCAGTGCACCTCAAAAGGTCGGCGATTCAGACGCCTATATTAGAAATTTGGCAGCTAATTTACTTTTGAACTCATCGTGACTTGGTTGGCCAAAAACTTGGCTCGTTTCTCGGTTGATATACCCTCTCTACTACGCGCTAAGAAAACATTCAAAACTGATATTGCTTAACGGGTTATCCTCAGTTGCAACACGCTTCGAAACGAAGAAATTAATTTTTTCTCATGTAAAATTTCTTCCTCCTCCACAAAACTTAAATATAAATATTGTATCCCTTTTTTCACCATTTTTTCAATCATGTTTTCATACTCTTTTGTTTATTTCCATCGTTTTGTGTTACATAACGAGTCTTCTTTCTTCACATGAGCGCGCATAAATTTGACAGTTGCACATGGAGCGCCTAATAAAACTAGGACGACCTTCACAATCAACCGGCCATCGTCATGGTATGTATATATACACTGAGATTATGACCTAACATGCATGGGTTGAATTCTTCTCACCGCAAATTCAAAGGTTCAACCAACACCCACGTCTTCCATGCGTTGCAAGCCTAGCTAACTACGGCTTCCTATTTTCTTCTTCTCAGCCCATACAACCAGCCTGGCGTGCTAATATAGCGGGTTCTATTTATTAATCTCTCAGTGCACGCGAAGATCTCCAACACAGAGAGGCTGAGTGGAGCATGTAGACAAACGAGGCTGTGGTTGTCAAGCAGCCGCGATGGGTTGTCCAAGCCCCAGTACAACCCGCCCACTCGTGAGCCATGCCAACAGTGTCAGCCCCATTGAACCCTCTCAAATTGGACGATAGCCTCGTGAGCAATTAGATTGAGACATCTAATGCTTCGCCCGATCATATGTTCACATAAACTGAGTCCTGTGTATATGTACTTTTATTCAAGCCTTGTTCGATGGGTTTAATTTTGGTGATCATGATTCATGCAGCGGGCGCGAGGCAACCACCATGACCCAATCGATGACTGTTCGCGAACACGAACACACACCCCCCAACCATGCGAACTCTATAACTTCGCAGGAATATGTCTAGGTAGACACAGCTAGCGTTTAGGCTCCCAGCACATAAAGTCTGCCCAGCCCAATCCTCGGGGCTTCGAACAATTTCCCAAAGCTTAAATCAACCGAGTGCTGCAGCGACGGATGATCTAGTAAGCTTCAAGGCAACAAGCGTACATACACTACAGCTATATCATACTAGTCGCTATCTAGCGAGGCAACACAGATAGTCAGGTCAGGGCCAATCTCACTAAAGGATATCTCACCCCAACCCACCTTAAATACATAGTAGTAAGACCCTTATGTTTACCACCTCCAAGATACAAGGAGAGAGAAGACAACAATAATACTAACTAAATGTTGGTCGAGTGGAATAAAGTCAATCGGTGCTTCAATATCTATCCATCTCTCTAAGCTTATATACTCTCAACACCTTTCCGTAAACACATACTTCAGTATGCTTTCCGAAGCCACTCGACCTCCATGGCTCTACCAGAAACATAAACTTGAGAAATTTGTTGAAAATCAAAACTGGAAATTGAACATTGTGGACCTGCGATGCGACCGAAATCGTTGCGAGCTTGTCGACAACATCCTTGAGAAAATTGCCTTGACGGAGCAGCTCAAGCCCAGCGAGTTCGAGAAGGGCCTTGCAAGAAACCACCTAGCAGTCGATCTCCAGAATATCCTTCAGCGATGGTGCGGTATCGGGTTGAAGAAAACAATTGAGGGATCTGCCCTTTTGGGAGGCCCACCAACTCCTCTCACCAACCGATGGGCTCCTCCTCTGAGTGTGGGGGGGGTCGGTCCTGTACCGAAAGTAGAAGTTACAAGTCCAGAGACAACTGTGTTTTCACCACCTTCAACGACATTCAATTGCATTGGAAGTGGGGACGCCTACCAACTTCGAGCACAAAACATATTCCCATCTTCGCAGCACCCTATTTTGAGTTCCCGGCCGAGCAAAAGACAGCTCGACGGTGTTGATCAATACGACGATATCACTAAAATGGCCAAAATAGATAGGACATCATCATTCACTTGCCCATATTATGCTCGGAACAAACATGCCCCCGATCATGCAGACTGCGCAAACAAGACCTTCCCAAACCCTCGCAAATTAAAGTATATATAACTTTTATTTACCCATTTTCTCATATAATTACATGATATCCACCCCCGAGGTCTTGCTTTTCCTTAGTATTTTAGTTAACCTATGCCAAATCTTTAGGGAACATGTCTGGCGGTGGCTTAAACCTTTCAAGTGCATAAACTGCGGTGAAGGGTTTGGCCGTGAGAAGACAAGAGCTATTCACTGCGAGCAGCGCAAAACCAAATGCAAGACCGCCGTGTCAACATACGAGCAAAGTGCCGAGTTCCGTCGCGATCAGCAAATAGAGACAGCAAAGAGTACTCAGGAGATGATCCGCATATTTGATGAATACGAAAAGGAAGTCAATGGTTAGTTACCTCACGGTCTTGACTGTTTTCGAGTAATAGGACAGAAGACCAGTTGAGGGGCTTACAACATGAATACAGACGTAAATGCACAAAATATCAACAACCAGGAGAGGAGCAGCAGCTCAGAATCAGAGGGAAGCTGCTCAAGTCCTGACAACACATCGGATAGCGAAATGGATGGTTCAGGAGGTTGTTTAAAATACACAGCGCCATTGCGCGTGGAACTAGAGCAAAGACCCGTTATGGCCGTTCGACAGCGCTCAGAGAGTCTTCATCAGGCTCACATTTTGCGGGAGGATTCAGACTCTACCCTCGAAGGTTTGAGCCCACAGACCCCGCAAAATTACTCCAACCAAACAATACATGGACACCAACTGAGCCCAATCTGGCAACAGGAAGGCGATCAAAACCAGTTTAATCCGCTACACACTCGCCGAAAAAGCGCGCCGCCGGTTTATTTTACGTCATTACCTTCAAATAATTTCGTGCAGGAGTCAAATATTGGGACTATGGAAGTACCGAAAATTACTGTCACTCAACATGAACCACCTCTAGATTTTTTGAATCACAACACTAGCCCGATAGAGTTCGAGTCAGAGTTATATCAGATGCAGAATGATATCAGTAATAGAGAGTCATCATACATGACGGAACCTATGGACGAAGGACCTCAGATGACAGGAAATGATTTTCCCAACATGAATCAGGGATTATCATTGGGCGCTAGAAACATTCCGCAAAGAGTTGTTATACAAAGCCCTGGATTCCGCAGTGTTGGGCCATTTCTTGCTGGATTCAAGTTTTAAGTTTGGTGGTATTTCATCTCATTATTCCATGCTTTCATTCCCCATCTTTCGACTTTGACTTTCTTTCGATTTTATTTCGTTCTTCGGATCATATGTGCTTATGTATTTCGTGGGTCTCTCCCCTTCTCTTATGTCTATAACGTACGGCGTTTTCAAGTTGGTTATTTTGGGGCGAAATTCGTGGGAAAGCAGGGGCTTTTTACCCAAATATTAAAATAAATATTCAGATTATTACCAAAATGTTGCTTGCTCAGATTCAGGAAATAATTCGGTTTGGGTCATTAAGAAGCTTCTCGAATGTCTTATATGTCCCAGAACACCTGGTGGACGCAGGCAAATAAACTACCGGGGGTAACTACTACCGCAAAATCTCAGTTCGTTCGGACGGTTGCCAAGAGCGGTGTTGGCTGTAATCCTGTTGTAAAAGGCTCTGATCTCTTCCTTTAAGGGTGGTATTTTTCAGCTCCTCTGCAAAGCTGTCCTCTTGGCAACCGTCCACCCGAACTCAGATTTTGCGGTATACCTGTTTACTAAATATTAGGTATGACTATGCCATGTTACTAGTATCTTGGTAATTATTCCCTTGTGATTCTTTCTAGGTTGTATGAAAGGGTCACTTTATAATAGAGCCCAAGGAGTGCGGAATCATAATATATCTGTAGGGGTTTTTTTTTGTCTTGTTAACCATGATAAAATCAAAAGATCCGATTAACTAGTAAATAACTAACCCAAGTATCTATCTCTTTCAACGACCAGCCACAGCTAAATTCGAAAAGAAAGAAAAATTAGAGCGGGTGATACCCGAGTGATAGTTCATGATTAAGATAGCTATTCTAGGTTCTTCGCATAGTACAGCTGTCAATCAATTCCAGATAAACTATAGGTAAGTCTTAGCCTAGTGATATCACTGTGTCACCATCATGTGATTAAACTTGCTGCCTGATTAGTGGGCGATGACTGCGGTCAACGAAGAGGGTCCATTTACCAGGGGCCGACTTTGCCTAAAGCATACCTGAAGATCTACGCTCTGATAATACCTGCTAAAGAAAGTGTAGCTAGGTACCCCTCACTGTCTATGGTATTGGGCGTAAATGAGGCTCAAATCGTTTCCATCCGTACTCGAACGAGAGGTTGTTGCAGCCGTAGCATTCTCCCAAAAGCTTTCTGTTTCGACTATACCCATCTTATAGCTTGAATCTTATGGGTTACCTCCGTTTCCCACAGAAATATCGTCACTATTAAGATCTGATTTCTCAAGATGTGGTCTTTGTTCTAGGCGTATGCGGAATTCTGCCGGAGACATAAATTGCCATAAAATGTCGTGGCAAATGTTGATCTCGGTGTACTAACTCCATTATCTGCTACACTGTAGTAGTTCTAAAGTAAATTTGTATCAAGTAAAGTACATTTTGATACAGTTTGCTATTGATTTAGGGACGAACACAACCCATGTTGCCGCCGTTTTCAAGTTCCTTGAGCTTCTGGGATAGATGTCTGTGGAGGCTCCTTAGGTCGTGAATCAGTGAGAAGACTCATTGACAAAAGTCTCTGTAGATCTTGATATATATGTATAACGGTTGGAAGAGGGGGGTCTTTCTGGCGTGCTGTGTCTACATACGTGCCTACATACGACACTATGCGCACCGTGGTTATGTAGGTACCCAGCTCGAACTGCGCATGATGGAACTATGATACCTAATGACGCAGGAAATCTAGATGTGAAAGATTCTTTGCGATATTGAGGGACTTGTGTCTATAAGGCCTGCTACATGCACACCCTTGAGAAGAGGGAAGGGGTCAATCCTCGAGGATGACAGGGATGAGTGGGGATGGAGTTGTAGATGGAATGAGTAAAGAGGTTGAAGCCTCCAAGAGAAGCGGTGACAAATATGCTTACTTCATCCCATAGCATACATGTGACTATGGAACTATTTCCATTACCGGTAGTAGTACCGGGAGAGTTAATATGTTGCTCAACCTCCGGTGAAGGTAGCATAATTATCCTAGCCAACGTGGTGTTTGCCTCTGAGATTTATGTGTGTAACGTTGTAGGAGTTTGGAACAGCCCGATGCTTCTCCCATGGTCTGGACGGTGTGTTTCCTTTACCCCCACACTCAGGCTAGCTACTTTCAGCTCGAAAAACCTGCCGAACTTCAACGGCGAGAAACTAACAGCCGCGGTCTGTCAGAATGTTACGTATGCTACATCTATACTTCCATTTTTCTGTGTTATGTTCCACGGTAAAGGCTTAAACTAACATCATCCGGGAGTGACACCTTCAGAATGCCATGTTGTGAGCAAAAATGCGGGGAACACTAAACATCTCACCCGTTACACGCCAACCTCATCCCACATTTGCCAATTCTGTTCATTGCAGTTCCCGGTGCGAGGCCTCATAGAATCACAATTTGGAGTACTGCTCTCCATAATTGTCTGCGGCCTGGAGGGATAACGCAACCTAAACAAGCAGCTCAGGATTGAATACATATATCCATGGGTGCATTCACACCGGAACTCCGAAAGATATTTTGGCAATGGGTCCGATCAGAGGAGTACTTATGGCCAAATTATCATAGCTATCGTGCTCTTGCCACCATTCCGAACATTATCCATCATTCGAGCACATATAGTCGTCAGTGTTGAAGATAAAGCCTAGGGTAATTGATGTTATTCTATAGATCCATGATATATCATTGAATTTTAGCCAGGCAGCTAAGGTATATACGTAAGGGTCTCTGAGACTATATACAGTACTTCAATCTAGTACATAATTCTTCCGACTTGCTTTTTCTGATACTTGTTGGAACTGGCCTTGACCAAGTCGATAGTTCATGGCTTGTTTCTCTGGGGAGTGCCATATTTACCATGGGTTTATTGTATTCTCTTATATTATACTGGACTGGGAGTACGTACCCATACTAGTCAAAGTTTGAACGGATATATTGCATGCAAGATCAAAGCCCTCAGAACTCGGAAGACAACCAAATCCAGGGGCATATTAAGGCAAGTACATACTTCAATACGCTTCCCGCTCGCTAATATTAACTACTAAATTATATGTTGAGCTTATACCTGGCCCTGGTTCTAGGGGGGAGAGTCGGATGGAGGGCGGAATGAACGGGTCGGGACTGCCTCTATCGGTATCAGCGATTCGATTGGCACATATACTAAAACCTTTAAGGTCTCGAGGAGTACAAGATCCGGAGCTTATTTTAAATTGATATACCGGTATTAAACGCCGATAGTGCGCCGATGGATTCGCCTATATAAACTCATACACATGTGGTTGATTTCGGCTAAGGTAAAGCCCTCAACTATTAACCAAAACGGCTACTGGCCGGTCTTCGTTTTGACGATCCCGGTGCCATCCAATAACCACGTTTGTAGCTAGGGTAGTATGTAACCGAGCCCTACGACGAAGATTACTGAATGTCACCCTGATAACGGTGAATGATGGGAAAAAAAGTACAGGTACGATACCCCTGTTTGCGGCTGTCTTTTTTGTTCTTGTGTTAGAAGTCTTCGGTTGACGGATATAACCAACCCCCGTCACGCTCTTTTTCTTTTTCCTCCAGCTGGCCTACTAGCTCTACTCTGTACCTACAAGGCTCCATAGTTATGGCCTCTTGTCTTAGATATCCGGATATTCGTATCATAAATTTGGGTTAGACACGATCCATCGTGGTCACATAGCCCACCGGCTGAATTTTTACTGGGGTTATCTTTTTGTTTTTCCTTCTGACGAAGGAACCTTCAGTGGACTATACTTTCTAAAGTCACATCAGACGGTAATGATCCTTCCAACATGATAGTTGTCATTGAATCAGAGTTATGTAATTTATATGATGCGGTCCCTAGCTCTAGAATATCACATCGATTCATGAGGCTGAAAGACATAAAGGCCAGATGACTCCACAGAGAGTCCACGTATGCGAAGATCTCGATGACTCATTTACAAACAGCCTCTACTGGTTGGGTCATATCTGTCGGTTTTGATATTATGATCATTGCCCTTTTGCAGGTTCTCTTGCAATTGGACATATGTACCCAGATACACTTCCGCGGGGAGTTGAATGAATACATACGGTATGTATCTACCTTGTAGAATGTGATTGCAGTATTTTATTCGGCCTCTAAACTATGTTTACCGGTATGTAGTTACCTACTGTGCTCTACTTGCTGCGCATGGCCAGAACTTTATCTCGCCCAATCTTATTGATGGTGTCGCGATGTTGAAAGACCATTTCGAGAAGCCTGCCTCCTCCGTGAGAACCCTGTATCACCGTTCCGAGTATTGTTAGGTCTTGGCGCGCAACCTCCGGTGTGTGACGCATACAGCTCATCCAATATCGGAACTACATGCTGTTATATCCTAAGCGACTGATAGAAGAAAGCCCACTTCTGTACTGATAATCTGGTAAGTACCTCAGGTCCAAACATTGGCATGTACTGTTGTTTGGCAGATTTTTATCGAGGTCTTACCACAACACATAAACCTTAGGCAGTACATGCATGTGTGTCGACCAATGCCCGCAATTACATTCAAAGAAGGCTACGATATAATCTTTGCGTCCTCACTTCGCGGAAACTCGGCCGGCCCATTAGTCTTCGTGACCTTTGTAATAGGTATGTACATCGAAGAAGAGAGGCTCGAGGAGGAGGATGAGGATCCAGTCAGCCTTTAAAATTTCCTGCGGTGCTAGGATCGGATTCATCAGCAATGCACCGCTGAAGTGTCCCGGAAGCGCATCAAAGAAATACCCACATTTTGAGCCGCATGTACCACCACAAACCACTACCGGTTCCACTACACAGACACCATCACCCAGCAATCAATTGCCACACATGTTATGTCACGCCATCGGATAGCTTCCGAGATTATGGAACTCCCAAAAAGTAAAAAGTAGCGAGTTTGTCTAGATATCTGGATCGGCCGGTGCTGGTAACTATACAGAAAGGTACAAACTGAACATACGTGGAGCTGGCTGTTACTGCCAAGACGTCCAAGAGCCGCTGTATAATGTATTATTTATAGGGTTACCGTAGGCATCGGAACCCATCAACCAGCAATTACGATGAATCCATGTACGGTACTTTGCGGTTTCAGGTAGGTTTCCTTGGAACGTCGAGTTCGAGAAGATTATACATTGGGGTTTATGAAAATAAGTTTAATTATTAACAAAAAAATCGACTGCACGTACCCGGAAACCCGTGTGACTTTTTAAGGAGCAAGGCAACAACAGTCCGCAACGTGCTGCATAGGAAGCACTCTTTTAACATTGATGATCATGATCGATAATTCTTTGGCCCTAAAAAATAATACCGATATGGCTATGCGTATCCCGAGGTCATTCTTTACCCCCCACTCTACCTGAAGCCCAGGACTACCCGGTAGGTGTTTTTTATTCGGGAAAATCTACTTGTCAGTCAAAGAATATATGCAATCTGCTGCTTCAAGTGTCCACTCCGCAATGCTTGATTTTGGGCGGCCGCCAGCAAATGCAATTTTAGCCGCTAGGGTGGGTGTAGTGCGGCTCTTGTGCATCAGAAAATGACGAATTAGGTCAAGTCGCAGCCCCAGACGCGCATGGGGAAAAATTTAATTATTTAGAGCGTATCTGGTACTAGCAAGTTCGAGCGTTTCATGGGACCACGAGCCAATCAACGTAGAAGCACACCTTTTGAGGCTCTGCTACCTGCAGTCTCCCCGTGATGGAAGCCCTGCAATGCCCTTGAGCTCAAGTAGTTCTTGAACCGAGTCAAGTAATGTTAAAAAGCTTTCTTGAATCCTATCTTCAATACCTTATTCGAAATTCCCACCAACGTTCCCATGAAATCCTCTTTTAGAACTCTCGTCTTCTGGTAAAAAGGAAGATAGTTACAACCTTCGCCTTATATACTCCGAAAATAAAATTACCGTTTTGCCAGAAAGCCAGTCGCCGCTGTGACAAAAGCACATAATAATCCGAAACAGTATGCCCCCTAAATCTTCAGTTGGGAAAGGACTAACTCACCTAGATATAGCGCTCAGGTCGCCAGAATCTAGTCCTCAAATATTCCCGGAAATCTTTTATCAGTTAAAAAAACTTCTTTCAGAAAGTAATGTCTGATAACCGGGGTAGGGGAGATCAATCCAGACAAATGTTGCCTTGTATGTATACACTCATGTCTCCATATCACGTTTTATCAAAACACCCTATAAACACGACGTCTGTGTCTAAACCATGGGGCATCATATGAATAGCAGCCCTCAAGACCCACCATGGGAGCACATACTTCCGGTCGAGCACCCTGACCTAGCTTCCCGTCATAATGTCGAAAAGGGGACCCGTTTGCAATCTGAGATCGAAGACATAGATCACGCCTTTTCAGATTCCGCCTCCCCTGAAGCCACAATGGATCAACAGAAATCCCAAAAATGGGAACAGCTCAAGGGTTATGACAACACTTACTCCACTGGAGCCCACGACCGCTACCATTCAAAATGTGATCGCAGTAATTCACTCCAAGGACTTCACTTTAGCAACGATACCAATACAGACACGTCTTATACTTTAACACTCGGTGGTGGACCCGCATCCCACTCGAGCCCTGATGAAATGACCGAATCATCAAGCACTATGGAGCCAAACTTTCCAGAAACAGTTCGAAGCAATAGTCCCCAGTCAGACAATCCTGACAGTGGGCCTTCCGATCGTGGTGGAAGCTCAAGTGGTCAAGGTCTTATGGGCAATCGTCCCCGACCTTTCTCTAGGAAGTCCAAGGCTGGAATCGAACATACTGTCACCCCTGCCCGCGCAGGTCCTGATGGTGGATTTATCTGTAGGTTCCAGGAACGGGGAAAAGTCTGTGGACAGTCATTCAAACTTCCCTCCGACATCAGGTTTGTTTGAAACCCAATCTGCGTGTTTTTTTGGTTTTGTTTTTGTTTTTCTTTTTTGAATCTATCTCTCATCAACATTCTTCTATAGATTCCATCTCATTGAAAACCACATGACGTTTTCTCCCTTCCAATGTGATAGATGCAAACGAGTGTACACGAGAAAGTCACTCTATACTCGTCATCTGAAAGAGGTTCCTCAGGATAATTCGACATCAAGACGGACTCGTCAATGCCCTCACCGACTTGTCGAGCAAGATGAATCCTATCGTATCCGAAAGACTACTTATGAAGCACTGTGGGCAATCCAACTGAGTCAAGAGCAAGTTGACAATGCGGCCAACATCATTTCACAGTACAATGGAAAGCTTCCTGGCCGGCGCAGACGTACTCAGAGTACCACTGAACATGAGATTCCCACTGCAGTTTCTGCGGATGCGTCACAGTCAGCCAGTCACTCTTCTCGGCAGTCTGAAAGTGGTAAGATTCATACCCAAGCCAGCTTCTATGCCATATTCTAATTCACGGAGCTTGAAGGGTTTCCTACTCACCAGAATCCGCCATATGTATCTCAGCCTGAGCCAGTTTATCCCCCACACATAATGAGGGTTTCCAGTGCCCCCAACCTTTACGCCCAAAACACAATTGCGGACTCAGCGGGAAGTCGTAGACCCTCCCCTATGCCATGTTTTAGTACAGGCCCCAGCGCCTCATACGAGGCGATTTCTCCCTTTCACGGCCAACAAGATCCAAATGCTCTTTCCACAGGCACAACAAGCTATGATCGACAGTATTTGAACCCTGGGGACGCACTTTACTCTTCGCAGCCAAGGGGATCTGAGTTTTATGAGGCACCTAGGGGATTCTCGACTTCATCTGACAGCATAGCTCCTCACATGATACAGAGTCGCCAAACTTCCTGGGATGATCCAGGCGTTGAATCAAGTTACGAAACTACTACTTGGTCCTCCGGAAATCGTGCCGGATATCGCGAGCCTATGGCATTTGAAAGCACTGGCCAGGCCTCGAGTTATCAGTTTTCAACTGTGAGTAGTATATTTGGATTTGCTGGACTCGTTGGCTCCTCAGTGTCCTAATGAATGCCGAACCTCATCAGGCCCCCAACAGCGACCAAGTGCACCACACGGCTTTCAGTCAAGAGCTTAGCCCAAGAAGATGTGATTATCAGAATGCGCATCGTGATAACAGTCCAAAGCGGAGGGGATAAATCGCAGCTGTTTCTGCAGGCCTACGGGGTCGCCGGTGAATTTGGGACGGATAAAGGGTTTTTTTCCCGGCCACATTGTTTAATGATGGTCAAGTTTGAATTTATGAAAAGTGGATATTTTCGATTATTTGTATATGCTAGGCAAAGGTTCAAAACGATACAATCAGAGCTTGAGACTCCCCCAAATCATACGCCTATGGAGAAACATTTATGCCATTATCGTTTGGTTCCAGAATCTCCGTTTGTTTTATTAAAGCCAGCCGGAAGCAGCCGCTGCCGATGGAGTTG